AAGTTGCCAATTTAAATTATTAACTATCTATTCTATTCTAATTTCTATTTAATACAATTAAAAATACGTCACAGGGCTAACCAGATAGAGTTGAGTGAAATTTTCTATTTTTTTCCCCAGATTTTCTCTTTTAAAAGATCAAAGAAAAGTTATATTCTCTAATTTATTAAGCACTGCACTGTCCGTTTTGATTTTTCTATGGCTATCAAAGAAACAAAAGCTACGATTTAAATAGGAAATATCATTAGCCAAAATTATGATAAGATCTGATAACTCTTTCATTCTCAAATCTTTTTACTAAAACTTAGTGTTTGAAACTGATTAATTTCAATATTACAGGTAATTATAATGAGTAAGCTATTCTGAGAAGTAAACATTGGCATTTAGGTTAAATGGTCAGAAATAATGCAAGCGTTTACAAATGCAAATTGAAATGAATATGTTTAATCACGTAAACATGGGGGCTACACTAAGGGGGAAACGCACAGGGGTCAATGGACCATCAGGTGATTGGATGAAATTGTGTTTTTAAAGGCACATTATGTCTCAGAAAAATTTCCTTCTTAACAAGGGCAAACATAGAGTTTTATAACATTTAAATTCATAATGATTTTAGAGCATGTAATATACTTTCCACCAGAAGAAAGCAAATTATGCAATTCTGACAAAGACCTAACTAAAGTCAAGAAAGGAAAGGACTAAAAACAAAGAAGCATAGCAATATTAATACTTTTACTGTGGGTTCAAACATGTTAGAAATATTGTTAGAAATATAATATACATAAATAATAGTATGACCAAAAATGCAAGCAAAGTATTGCAACACTAAGTAAGTCATACTCATATAAGCAACAAACAGGTCTATAACATTTAAATAAATTATCTATGATAATCATAATTCATCACCTTAGTGCAATAACTGGTTAACTCCTCTTAAATTCAGAAGGAGTAAACCTGTAATTGCACTAAGTTGAATATATTTTGTTTCGGTTCTTTTATACACCCTATAAGAATCTGCAATCTACCAAAATTTCTGCACAGAGCCCATTTAGTTAGCCAATTGACCTTTTTCGAAAACCTAGCTGAACACCGTTTTCCGGTGCGTTACGGATTAAGCTCTGGGGTATTACACCAAATGAAGTACATAACACAGTTACATGATATTTCTAGTTTTCTATCATTATTTTACCGTTTAAGGTGAAAAAAATTGATGTATTTGAAAATTATCAACATTCCTTTAATATCTTTTGCAAATTTTTCAGAAAATAAATTGTTTATAATGAAAATCAATAGAATTAAAACAGACGTAGTGGAATCTTCCATAATAAATAAGGTTATTTTCTGCGTAAACTTGTGTATTTACTTTATTTTTTTTGTATGGAATTATTCATACAATGATATTTAATTATTTTCTTATAAAGAAATAACTGTTTTATTTCAATTTAATTTTAAAAAACAGGCCTCAAACATAGAGTTAGTTATTACACTCCATTAGGTGAATTCCCCAGAGCTGTGTACAGAAAGTACCGGAAAACGGCGTTTAGCTAGGTTTTCGAATTTGTGAATAGTCTGTAAATGAAGACCTACAAAATTACAAAACAGGCATTTCATTTTCCTGTAAATTTCACATCTATAGCATGAAAAGCGGAAAAGTCAATATTAAGATTTATTTAAGGGACCATTGCTCAAAATGTAAATCTATTGGAAAATCAAATTATACAGTAGCCTGTCTGACCTAAAACTAAAAGGTTTTGTCAAAATTTTGTCTGATGGATAGTTAATCACAGCATATTATATCAGCTTTCAAATTAAAACAAAAATTTGGGTGTTAAATCTGTCATAAGCCATATGGCTTTTCAAAAACATACATACTACAACATCATATCGCGAAAACTGATGACCATCATCGTGCACCTGTCAAAATTAATTACCTGTCAAATTTGAAAATTACCTTTCGTAATGCTTTGAGTTCAGATGTGCCGAGGGACTTTCTTCGCTTTCGTGATGAAAGAACAGCTGATAATCCACAATTCTCAACTCCAAAACTGTCATCTAAATCTTTTGCCTCATCAACGTCTTGAAAATCCCGCTTCCGTTTCCTATTCGTCGCGTCCATTTTGAAAATTTGTAAACTTTGAAGAACGCCTCCTGGCGGATTGAGAATGGCGCAGGTAAGTGGTAATTAGTTCCGCATCACTGCATCGCGCTTATTCGGCTGATAAGGAAATTGATCAACAAAGAAAATCTTTGACAACTTAGCATGTATTTGTCTACGTTTCTTCTTATCACGTAACTAATTACACAGATGTATGTAGATAAACATGAATTTGATAAGCTAATTAGACAATAATAATAGGTAATTTTTAAGATAAATAACCCGAGGCTAAAATTATTATTATTAGGAAATATTTCATGCATACTGAAAATAAGCTATTTTCGAGAAAACAGGATATTGCTTTTAAAAATAAGATTTAAATTTATGAAGTAGATCTAATAATATAAATCATTTTTATAAGTGTCATACACGATCATGTTAATTAGCAGCGGAAAGTTGTTATTTATATTATATTTATGAATGAATTACAATTTTCAAAACACATTTCTATATAATAATAAGAATCTTGTGACAGGCAATTTGACAATTTAAAAAAAAAGATCATTTATAGCAATGTTTCTTATTGCACACTTTTAATAGACGTTAAATGCATTTATTTATATGTCTCAAATGCTAGATAGATACATTTTAGGTATATTTATTTCTGGTTCTGTATACGTGAACAAAATACTTATAAAGTATTGGCACAAGTAGACGTTCCAAAGCTAGATTCTGAGATATTGTTCTGGGTCAAAATCTAGCTTATAGAGGGGGGAGATCTATAAACAATAATAGAACAATTTCTCAACGCGTAAGTGGCTAAGAGATTTATCGTTCTTAATTCTAAAATTTAAATAAAAAAAAAACATTACAGAGTGTAATTTGATCCACTCTACTGGAAACCGGTAGCTGCATTGTCATAATGACATTGAATAAGAGATAACATTATAGCCCTCAATGCAAATTATGTCAAATAAGTTGTCAAAAAAGTAGCAAAATCTAAACAAAACAATATTTTGACTTCCTTACAAAATTCTAAACCACTTGAACTCGTAAAGTACATATTTGCTGAAACGCTATAGAAGCAAATTATATCTCAGCTATTTGGCAAATGAGTACATGTACTCTTCCTGAAATTGTAAAAGGACACAATAATAATAATAATAATAATAATAATAATAATAATAATAATAATAATAATAATAATAATAATAATAATAATAATAATAATAATAATAATAATAATCATAATCATAATCAATAATAATAATAATAATAATAATAATAATAATAATAATAATAATAATAGCATTTTTCGGACTTAATCAAAACGCAATTATTTTTTTGTAAGAATTGCACACGTTCAAATATAACCATTATTCCAACTAGACTGAAAACTTTTTGTGAAATTTGGATATACCTTGAATCAAAGCTAACAAAAAATACATGTGATGTTACACAGTATGATTTAAAGTAGCACTGTTTAAGTCCCATTAAACCTACGAAATGATAAGTCTTATTTCTCAAAAACTTTCTTTATATGTTTGGTGTCCTGTTACCAAAAAAATTACCCACAGACCATATAGCTGAAGTTTTTCAGTCTGGAATTCAGTACAGTTAGATTAAGTATTTTGTCTGGAAGTTTAAAAAAATCCGCTTTGTTTACATTTCGCTACTTTTATGACAAACGATAATTGTCAAACATGCCCTTTAACACACGTTTGCCCATTCTAAATAAGAAAACAAGATGTACTCAATATATGCCTTTAACAATATAATCTAAGCAATTATCAGAACATTTTAGTGGTTATCTATTCTTTAAAAAAATCCTCGCTATGTTAAACATAGTTTGCGTTGTATTAATCAATCACACATATACAGTTCAATATTTTATTCAGCAAAATTGTTTCCAAGTTTTCAACATTTTTATCTAATATCTCACAATACATATACATCAGTGGAGAATAGCGAAGTTCCAACTTTACTGGCATTCGGCAAAACATTTGCCGTTGGTCAATTACAAATATATCATTATGGTAAAGACAATACATGTGGTATAAATACAAACGAAAAAAACATAAATATGTATGTACAATAATAATATTCACTATCAGTAGACATTTATAAGTCAAGAGTATCTGTACGTAACAACTGTTATTTCACAAACTGCCAACTTTTTGCTAAGATCTATGCCTATTTCATAACTGTATGTTGAGGGAATCAGAAATAGCCATGACATAAAATGGTCAATAGAAACATAAGGAAACTGTAATGTAATTTGCACGTTTACAGGAACTCCACTGAGGCCCTAAAGCCTAAAAACATTAGATTTCAATTTCTCACATAGACCAGCTGGGGTACAGAAATATATACAAAAGATAACTAAGAAATATACTCAGAAATAAATTGAAAATAGTATGTTTGTGCTATTCTCAGTCCGATTTGTGTGAAAAGCGTTGCATCGCTTTTAAATTTCGGATCATTTTTCAGTTAGAATAATTATTCTAGATCGAATTATCTGATTTTTTTACATAAGTTGCTGTTATAAACCTATATCAAGTGGAGTAATAATCTTGAAAAAAAAATAAAGTGCACATAAGTTTCCACTTGTTAAGGTTTTACTCATATACAGAAATAGTTAACGGCAAATACAACAAGATGTATATTTGTGTCTGCTAATGTAATTATTTAAATCATACACAATGTAATTATGTATAGTTTCCTATTTGTGCCAAATTGTACACGGTGTAAGTATTGTATAGGTAAACCGTGCCTTTAAATTATAGGTAAATAAGTTTTTGTTAATGAACATGTGGGCAAATCTACTGCAGATAAATGAGTCACAGTACAAAAGTTATTTGAAATTGTTTTTTCCTACCTGTACACCTGATCGATCACGTGACCTACAGCTGTTACAAGAAGATATTGCATGTATATTTTATGAGGAAAACACTGTAAGATTACTATTGTGTGGATTTATACGGGATGGATATAAACAAATATTTCATAAATATAGGGACATTTATAAGTGTGTAAACAAATGCAGTTATTTCTGGAAATTTAAGGAAATTTATAAGTGACTCACGAAGACTCATAGACATACTGACAGAGGTAAAACATTGTTAAATGTGTACAACTCTAAGTATATAGCATTTTCCCCACTAATTATTGAGTCTGTATATGTGTACACTACATATGCCCTGTTGTGAATTTGAATCTATTAAAAAATTTGTTGTAAAAATTTTTAACTTTTGGTGAGAGTTTAATGCACATTCTTCATACTTATATAAATATTTCAATATTTCTACCACTCAAAAGTAGAGGAAGTATTCGAATTTATATATTTTTTATATTTAAAAAAGAAGCTTTTGTTTCCATTATACAACCAAAACGTATGAGCTGAAAAGACAGTGTGCATATAATTGCATGTTCACCATGTCTATTGAATAACTCTTATAAGTTACATAATTATGATATTAGAAATATACGTATAATTGCTAGCAGTATGCAATGAAAAAGAAAAAATGAAATTTGAGGAATGCACATTCTGTCATAGAAGGAAGCTATCATGCTAACAGAAGGTCGGTTGTTCTACTCAGGCGCCCGTTCGTGCCGAGGTCCTCCTCCACCAGTAACAGCTGGAAAGTCAATCCGCCCTTTATATTGTTGATGTGATATTACTGCCTCTCAAACGAATACATTTTCACTTCTTCAGAATGGTCAAACCTTAGTTTTATCATATTTAGGAAACGTTTGTAATGCATGTTTGAAGGAAGTAGTGCTAATGTGACATTATTTGTCATTAAAGTAGCAAAATCTTAACGAAGTAATATATAAAATACAAAATCACTATAACCGTTCTTACTGACAAAAAACAATAGAAGAAAAGGATGGTTCGGGTAATTGGCTATTGAGAAATTTTTGGAATCTATAAACGTACAACGAAAATAAAGTTTGTGAGAATTAAAAATAAAAGCATTTTGGGGCATAATGGGCCTTCAAAAATTCATCAAAACAAATTCTATTGTTCATAAACATGTAAGTATATGTAATATGAGATACTAGAATGGCCAATGCATACATAGAGGATATTCAAGTTTGTTTTTTCTATAAATACAGGATTTATTTTCATCGAGTGATATGAACATAAATATTTTTATTAGTGGCGGTAGCTACGGGTGAAGCATGACAATTTTTATACCACAAGATGAAAATAAAGATGAAAATAAACATGTATGTACAGAAAAAAACTTGAATTTTTTAATTTTCTGTTTATCATATTAATTTTCTCTCTTTTGGCATTACAATTTGAAAAAAACTCCCCCTTAAGTTGTGTGTATTGGCTGTATTTAGAAGAAGGTAGGTATACCGACAAGAGACCAGTGAAAATACAGCAAATATGTTTCACTGCAGTGAAATGTTTTTTTACAGTGCAAATACGGAAAATGAAAATACAAATTTTATTTCGTCAATATTTCTATGAGTATACAAAAAATATGTTTATTTGTATTGTGTATATAAAAGCAGATATACATGTACGTAGGAAACATCTTTTATATCTTAATGACATTTTTCTACTTGAAAATTCAAAATTGCGCCTGAAAATTCATCGTTACACACTTTTTGAAAGCGTTTGTATATAAAGTACATGTTTGCATTGTCTACTAAATGTTCATTTCCTTTAGAAACGGACGAAATAAATGTAATTAATTGACAAATTCCGTCTCATAATGTAAAAATGTGACAGATGGCTCTCTATTCATTGATCGATTTATTTCAGTCATAATTTATTTATAGAAAATGCACGTTTAATGCGAGCCTTCTGAATGTATCGATGTTTCGTGCACAGCGCTTAATTAATACAACTTCTTTTTACAGTACATGTATTGTTAAGCTATGTTTCATATATTATATATCTAAATTACTCTATATGGTAGCTTTTGTTTATCACGTGCGATTTAAAAATGTTCGGAAAAAAAACAACATAAGTCTTGCTTTAAATAAATAAAGCATTTTTTAACAGCCAGGTATTATTTTATGTCGAAAATCCATTAAGGTGTAAAAATGAGCATACACTTAAAGGCACATTATGCCTCAGAAATCAATCATTTTCTTAATTCTTGAGAAAAGTCAAACATATGCATTTATAACGTTTTAATAATTGATTAGAAAATAGTACTGAATGTGCAGAAATGCACCAAGAAAGTAGCAATATGTAAACAAAGTGATATTTTGACTTCCATACAAAATTCTAAGTCACTGCAATTATACCAATTTACCAAAGGATCAAAAGGAGAAAATATAGTTCATCTCTATGGTCAATGAGTAACTTTTTGGAAACTGTTACAAGATACCAAAAAATAAGAAGTTTTTGAGAAATAAACTGATAGCATTTCGGAAGATTAATTTGCCTTTAAGTTTAGCCAACACACACATACTTCCTGTTACATATTCTTAAGAGGATTGTAGACAAGACGCGTAAACAAGTAAAAACAATGTAATACTAATAAGTACATAAAATTCATATAATTCAATCGAAGTATTATACATACAATAATTTAACTACGCAGGAAATTGTATCAAACAATAGATACATAATTTTTTACGGGGCGAAATGACATCAAAGTCAGAATAAACGTTTATCACTTGTTTAGGTATTTTCACATGACTGCTACGCGTTTCTTATGTTGATAATCCACTGCTTCACGTGGTGAGTCAAAATGAAAATTCCGTTAGTGATGAAATATCACCAGATCTGGAAGAAGAGTGTGGAAGATGAACTAAGTTTATTTAGTCGTTCATCTCTAACGATGTATGAAATACTCGATTAGCTGGAGCATTATCCTGGTGAAGGACAACAGTAGACGAATCTAGCATCGTTGTTTTACGCAATGACTGCACCAAAGTCAAGCTGCAGGTGTTCGTTGTAGTGTTTCAGAATGTTTTTACATATATACTGTTAAAGAAACATCAATGTACTCATATCTCTGACATGGTATAATATCTAAAAGTGACGTGGTACAATATATAAAAGTCACATGGTAAAATATCTAACAGTTATTTTTATTGTTTTTACAGTATACAAATGGCATCGATATCGAACGACGTTCCGGAATTTCTGAATGAACTAATACCGTACCGATGCCCGAAATGTGGACACTTGCGAAGATTTGCCACTCTTAGAGAACTCCGTCAGCACCTTCAATCAGAGCATTCATTTCAAATGGGTTTCGTCAAGCCGCATGCACGCGCGCACGTGTTTAAAGGCACACGTGACGGTAGCAATTCTTCAAGTTTCTCACGAAGTTTATCAAGTGAAGACATGTTCAATGGGACGAGTGGCAAGCACGGTAGAGATCAGGTCAATGAATTACGTAGAAACAACAACGAATATGACGCTAGTAGAAAGTTTACCAGAGACACTTCACCGTTACTGAGGTCTTTTAAAGAAGAAACTGAACTTTTAGAAAAAGAGTTACAACAAGCCAGGCAAAATGAAATGAAACACAAAACCTTATCCATGCATAATCTTACCGAATGTTCAGTTAATACAGATTTTAAGAAATCTCTAGAAGCAATACAAAAACCAACAGAACCAAAACCTAAACCGAGAAATACAACTGGAGAGTTCACAAGCATCAATCCAACACATTTCCATACAAACTTTGTTAATAAGACTGAATCTTACGAGCCATTTCCTCATGCTCAGATAGGTTCAAACTATGATTTCAAAAGCACGCTGGACACCCTGAATTCTGAAGTAATGAAATCGCGCATGAACCAGTGGGTGACGACAGACGCTCTGTATAAATCGCAAGATTTACTTAGAGGGATGGAAACAGCGGCAGAAATGAAATGTCAAGAACAGAAGGGGATTATAGAGAAGCTAATACAAGGTGAATATAATATCATAATCTAAGCCATAGCCCAACGAATTTATTAAATGAACTGGTCCATTTTCCTTATTTGGAAAAGTCCAATTTTAGGGTTACAAAGATGCAAATTTGGAGTTTGTCAGTCATCAGTATATAGAGCAAAATGTACCATCGTCGGATACCAACGACCGAACCATTAACATTGATTACATTTTTATCAACCATTGGTATCCGACGATGAAAATGTACACGCTGGCTTTGGTCTTTACTAGTGGCAAAGTCTTATAGCTTTCAGTTGCAGCAGGTTAATGGTTAATTAATGCAAAAAAAAACAACATAGAACAAGTGCATGTTTATATTTGAGCCATAATCTTACAGAAAGGCTATACCTTTTAATACCCATATTCGCAGTTTCCTGGAGTTTTCGATAAATTAAACATGAATTTTTTTGTTGCTTTATTGTAAGTAAATGAATTCGACTCTGACTTAAATATATGCACTAGGAGCTGACATTACAGATTGCATTTATTTTGTAGAAATTAAGTTTTTCTTAAAGGTTATTTGCGAGAGTTGAAATATGATAATTGTCATACCACAAGATGAGAATGAAGCCTGTATTTTATAGAAAAAAAACTTGAATTTTCTGTTTACTAAACCGTTTTTTGGCTGCTCTATGCATATTAAAAGTAACTTGTAAACAAATATAAACCATTTACATACAAATATATAATTGTTTAAGCATCATATACAAATGAAGCATTGTTTATACATCAAATAGAAATGTACCATTATTTAAAAGATATGAAAACCAAAGATGCCATGTTGGAGTCGCGAACAAAGCAACAAGCAGAGTTAAGTACAGAACGGCAAAGGCTTTTAGACGAAACGGAATCAATCGTAAAGCAAACTGATGATTACAACACGAGATTGAGACATGAACTGGGCGGTAGAGGGAAAATTCTGGAAGGACTGAACAAGGAATTAGAGAAACTAAGAACACAATCGGAGCAAGAAATTAAGTCAAAAGAATGTGACTTACAGGTATTTGACATTAAACGTTGAGTTTACAATTATTTTAGGTAAAGCAATGTACCCATGTTTTATATACCTGCTTCTATTTGATTCCAATGAGTTGCATAAAACTTCTTTCAAACCTTATACCGCTAAATATCTTAAATGGACTTGTCCATCTATAAGTCTGGACAAAACCATTTACCAGTTTTAATGAAAATTTCAAAATATATACTGACTGAAAAGCGAGCAGTGCTGACCATGATCAGACGGGCTCTAATACCAGTATCAGTGTTAACCTTATGGGTAGCAAAACCCGTTTCTACAGAGTAAATTGATGCGCGTTTTAAAAAAACTACATTTGTGTAGTATATCATAAAATAATGATTGGTGTCCACTTTACATGATCGAAAGTAGTTAGATGTATTTTTTCATATGTGTATTATATATTTTTATTATTGTGTATATACAAGAATGCAGCACAGAAGATCAGTCAGTTGGAATGGGAAAGAGAAAGGTTGATACAAGAAACTGACAGCATACTGAAACGAGCGGACAGAGACACTGGCAAGTTAAGAGAGACGCTACAGATGAAAGAAGAGGAACTGAAAAATGTTAACAAAGTTCTAAATCAGCTAAGGTAAAGTAAATGTATGCGGCATACAAACGAATGTACACATATGTTATATTAGTTACTTTACGATTAATAATTTGATAGAGCTTTGACACACACTGTATTACGTGTTAAAGTCAAAGTTACTCATAAAAAAGAATTCCAATATAGGAGTATAATAAGACCTTTCATAAGCGTGCGTTAATTTTATTTGAAATAAAGAGTGAAATCTCAGACAGTAAAGTTTATGAATATTAAAATTATTATTAAAATACAACATGTATATTCATATAAATTATGAAATCACACAATTAAAGCAGACGACTTTTAATGTATAGACAGCAGCAGCAGACGATGTTGGAGAGAACAATGACAGTATACAGAAGCTCGGAGGAAAGTAGGGAGATAATGAAAACTGCAATCCAAACCAAAGATGGTCAGTTGCAGCATGCCATGAAACAAATCGAGAACATGACGTCATTGCACAAGCGTCTTTTGGAACAGTCACAGATACTGACTGGTAATGATTTTGTGAAGAAATGGTCTGTAATGTTGAACAAAAAATTATAATGTATTACATATTAGTGACATATTAGTAATACTAGCTTTAGAAGAGCTTTGTTAATCGAGTATTTTGCTGCACTCTAATATATACTATTATATGGACATTTTATGTTTCTGTTTGTCGTCATTTTGATCTATTTTAGTTGAATTATGTTTTATTGTATACATGTTTTTGCACAAATTAACGTCATTATCTCAAGCATACTTAAAATGTACATGCATAAGCTATTCCAACGGTTAGCTAGGGCCCTTTCAGAATATTTTTCATACTCATTATATATTTCTAATATATTTCTATTTTTTGAGTAAAATAAGAAAGTTTTACATGTATGAAATATTTATCAGATCAAGCAGACGACAACACGTCAAGTATGAAACGCCTGCTTCACGCAAAAGGAGAACAAATACACGATCTGGTGCAGCAATTGGATACTCTCAAAAGAGGTAACATCTTTTTATATCAGGTATCCATCAATACCCATCATACCTTTTAATATACATATTTATATAAACATGTCAATAAATTTTTGTGTGGAAATTTTAAGTAAACAAGATGTTCCATGCTCTTTTAAATTACAATCAGGGTTCTCAACATCAATTTATAGTTAAACCTTATTTAGAACACGACATTGCTGAATCCTTTGCCTGCTGGCAGCAATAATTCTATCGATTCGTCAAATGCAGACCAAGATCAGCCAGCACACCCATGCCGTCGCATCCTGGTTTGCATTCTCTCGCTATTTGGTCACATATTTTGAAATTTTCCTTAAAATAATTAATGGTTTTGTCCAAATTGAAAGACGGATAAGTCTATATAAGATATCTAGCGTGGTTAAGGTTAATCAGATAAATTGCATTTATAATAATATTTTTTGTAAGTAATTGACATTTTTTTTGGTACTTGAACCCATTTCATTTAGCCACGGATTTATATTACATTATTATTGTAATGTAAACCCGTGATTTAGCGTAGATTAGTATTTCTTTTTCTTTAAGCTGAAAAAGTAAGACATTATGAATAATAGCCGAGATGTTCCGATTGTGCAAAATTGACACAAGGAAAGCATAGTTTTCGTACTTTGACTAAAAGGACCGAGAAGATGCTTTTGCTATTTATTTTAAATACTTTAGTCATCTAAATAGTTTACAGTTCAATACAGAACTAAACATGTTAATAATGAGTCAAATTACTTTGAACAGAAAAACGATATCTCGAAGAAAACACAGTATCACTAGCAGAACAGGCAGAATCAAGTGTTTCTGTCGTACAAAACTTGAGAGATATGGTCAAACAAAAGGAAAATGATTTGAAAACAACACAAAGGTAATTTGATCCCAAAACGTATATATAGTATTAGTGCATATAGTATTTCATAACATTGTTTAAAAAAATGTTTAAAAAGTTACAGACACTTTTGTTTATCTTTGTTTAATTATACTATAAAGTCAATTATCTAAAGATTATGGACTTTGCTTTGTTGGGTTTTACGTCGCGCCAACACAATATAGGTCAAATGGTGATTCTAAGCTTTACTGGGGGGTTGGGGTGGGGTGGAAGATCCGTGTATTATTTCAGAAACAATCAGGGTATATTTAAATGGTAAAATGAGGTTATTACTAGTATACATTGTTGAGGTAAGTCCTGGCTGTAAGTATAACTTACATTAAACGAGACTCTGGTTTATAAATGTTCCGAATATGGCCATAAGACTATGAAACAACGTTAATGTAAAACCCTTTATTATAATTTGTCAGTGATAGGTTAACAACCTTTTTATTAAATAAATTAAATAATTTGTTAATAGAGGCAGTGGTAATATGTAGATCGTGGAAATTAGTAAGACTGGAAAAACGAATGAAACAACTATTGAATAAATAAATTATAAATTTTAGCGAGCTCCAAAACTTAAAGTCATTTCTGATGACCACTGCTGATAAAGAGAAAGTAGCAAGACAAAAGTTGGAGGTATTCATAGAAGATCTGATAAAACGAGCCGAACAGGCAGAATCGGAACTACACGTGCTGAAAAGTCAGTCAACACAATCCGCTAGTACACTCCATGACGTGAAGATGGAATCGTTTTCAGATATTCACAACAGTGAAAGCACGGCACGGAAAAGGTACTGTGATAAACTTTAATCGCATTTCTGCTATGCATATTATATCATAAAATCAGTTACTCGCCTCCGTGGTCGGGGGGTTAGAGTCGGTGACTTCTAATCCAGTTACCTCTCTGGCGTGGGTTCAATCCCCGGGAGATGCTTTGGAAGTTCAGCGCGGAGGAAGGTAGTCTAGTACTGGTGTAACTCTCCAGGAACAATTGTAAGGAAACTACCCGCCTATATGACTGAAATACTGTTGGGAAAAGGCGTAAAATGAAACAAACAAACAAACAAAACTTGCTTAGATAAGATTAGTTCTGAATCAGTCATGGATACCTTAATTTATTCAAGTATTAATATGTCAACCATTAAAGTAATTTTAATTATATTATTTCATAGAATGTTTTCAAAAGTATAAAATATATCAAAAAAAACATGTATCTTGAAAAACTTGGTTGTCTGAAAGCTTTATTTTTGGAGTTTTGATCCTTTTAAACTTATAAATTTCATCAAATTTGCTTATTATAAGTAAGATGAGTTCAAAACTTTTGATTATCACGACAAGCACATTTATAAGACCAGGGACATTTTTCTGAAACATTACTTTTAGGAGTTATGCCTCTCAAAAACTTTAAAAAATTATAAATTTTATAAACTTGTTAATAAAATTTAAAATAGTTGTTGCCTGTAAACAACGCATGCGGTGTTTTTCTTTGTATTTAGCAGTACAAAAAAGTTGATTCGACATTTTTTAATTTTCGGACAATTATGACTTTAATTATGTAACCTACAACAAAACTAGAATTTTAATAACATACCTTATGAAAAAATACATAATACTTTCCCCCTATTTATATCTATGACAGCTTACCTTCCAAGTTAAATATGGAACCGTCGGAGTACCATGCAACAAATCTCGATCAAACACAACCATCCAAAAGTCATCTAGGTCAAACAGATTCAATTTCAGACAGCTTTAAAGCCACGCCTTTGAAGAGTATGTTTGTTACAGCCGCTGATGTACACCAGTTTCATCCTGGTAACATGGGTGATATTATCACTCCAGTAAGTGCTGACGGAAATATATCGCCGAGAAATAATACGAGCAATTTGCTTAATTTAACGGGCAAGAGACTCGAAGAAAGCGGTGGTTTTGTCGTGCAAGAGGAAAACTGTCATAGTCCAGATAACTCTTACTTACATAGTCAGCAAAATTTGACAGAAAGCGGTAAAAGTACATCCTATCTAGAGCAAAGTGGAAGCAATAAGCCTCATCGTCGAAAAAAATCTAAAGGATCAAGAAAAAGATTTGAACGTTCTTACGAAAGTAGTTCAAATGAGGCTATTGACAAATGTAAAGAGTTTCAAAAGCGTAGAAAAGATTCAAATGCAAAAGACGTGAAAGATACACCGCACCAACATACTAAAGTTTCCAGAAGGGCAAATGTAGACACTGAAGAAGAACTAGAAAATTCGACAGATGAACTTGATTCAGAAGGTCATTCTGATACTGAATATTACAAACTTCAGGATGCTGAGTTAATGAGACTAAAAAAAAGTTGTAAAGTTAGTAGAGGCTTGCAAGTTGGTGCATTTCTATCAAACCAAAATTTAGATAATGAAGCTGAAAAGGACTCGGATGAGTTTAATACATTTTCAACTGAAGATGATAGTTATGATGACATCGAATACAGAAATAGACCAAGGAGTATAACTCCAAATAGAACGTACGGATTAGAAAAGCACATTGGAGAAGAAGCTGAAAGACCTGTTACTATGGGCAAATCGCCGAAAAATAAAAACACAGGCAAAGAAAATAGACACAAGGAGAACAAAACGAAAACAAGGCACTATTTGAATCGCAAGTTTGATACAAATCCTCCAACTGTTCATCGAAGTATGGTTAACATCACTAGAGATGGTATTGATTTTTCCGAAGGTATGATTTTGTAAACTGTAATAAATTATTAGGATTAAAATAAGAAGGGTCAAAAAGCTTAATTTGACTGCTTTATTATTGGATAATGAAGTAAAGAGGCCATTAGCAACGAATCCAACGATCACAATATATTCAAGACACGACCTATTACCATTTTATGGCAGTAAGTTTTATTCCGTCGCCTGTGTGGTAAATTATACTAATACTTATATGGTAGTAATTGAATATTTTTGACTGATTCAAAAGTGAGTAAAGTTATAAATATCCTTTAATTAGTTCCATTTACAGAAACTTTATGTTATGTCAACATTTTCCTACAGGCGAAGTATTACTACGCAATGAGGATAGACACAGAAGGTCAAGGTCACTTTCACCTAGAACAATGGCAGCAAGGGCAGCATATCAGACGAGAGATATAGAGCAGTTTCCAGGCACATCCGAATATGAGGGTAACAAACTTGAATAGTTGCATAGATGATAATGTTAGTTCATAAAATTAAATTTCAAAAATAAAATATTGAGTAGATCTAAATAAAATTCACATTTACAATCTCTAAATAATTTACTTTACATGTTTGAGAGTTTGAGATATGGTAATGCTAATAGTATAATATTTGTATAAACGGCCCAGTACAAAATTATACAGAAGTTATAAATCATTGCTATTATATCTCACTGCACTTTATTAAAACTGTAGATGACATAAGTGATGACGATGACGTCATAATGCATGGAAATGATGTAGTTGAAAATACTGACGGAGTGTTCAGTAATATAATGGATGACAATGGTATATTGTGGGATGATGATAACGCTACTCTGCCGGATGTCTCTGATTCGGAGCTTGATAGGGTAAATATTACATATGGCTGTAATTCATATTTACTTTAACCTGATAAATTTGTATAACGAATTTGCACATCTTTATAATTGGAACAGTTCATTTGAAGATTACAATATACTAAGCTTAGTACTAACATACTTGAGCCTGATCAGACTTCATGGATGTGTAGGCTTGCTCAGCTCTATGCTGGTAGCAAAGACTGGTTGCATTCGGTTGCAGCAGGTTAAGGTTTGAAAATGTAAACGGAGCATGTCTCAGATATTTACATCTATCATTTTCTGAATAATTTATCAAGATAAAATTATTTATTAAATATCTGATTTACCAGTAGTTCACTGAATATTTTACATGACTGATAGAGATTCTTCTAAAGAATAAATACTTCTACTGAAATAATATGATTGAGAAACATTGTAGACATGCACGACTGATTAAAAAGAGAACTGTAAGGTAGCATATAGGGGAAAAGGTGATCCACCAAATAGGGCAAAGATTTGTTGAGATTTATAATATAAAAGATAAAACGTGAATATTGAAGGTTCCATTGGTTTATAAAGCATATTTAGTATATCAGTGTTTCAACAAACCGAGTAGGTATGAATGCAAATACGTTTGAGCAATTGTTGTTTTTTTTTAAATAACTACAATGTAGTCTTTAAATTAGATTGTCATGTTAAATGATATGATTATTTCAGGTAAGTCCGTCTGGAAGTGAAGCTCTTACTAGCAAAAACCTGTGCAATGCAACGACATCTGTTTATTCGAATCTGAATGTTTCGCCAAAGACACCTAAACATTATGACAGAATTGTAAAATCTCATCCAAAATATGCACATAATGATACTGAAGAATCATCAATATCAAATGTTGCCAAATTACTTAATAGTCCAAGCAAAAAGTCTGGACGCCGAATGATATCACCGATTAGGAAAACAGAAACGATGGAAATTAAAACTTATTCACGGTCGCCAAAAGCGATAAAGGAAGATGAACTGAATGATACTGAAAATTCTAGAGACAATCAGAAATCAACAAAAGTGACATTTCGGCCAATAAAATCCCCATTATTCAGCAAAAGTAGTACATCGGAAAGAGATCTTAGTTCAGGTGGAAGAGAAGTGAAAACTATAATGAACGCTTCTCCTAAAATAAACGTAATGGGGGCTCCGGGAACAGCTAGTCTTGGCAGTTTATCTTCGAATTCACGTATACATAGTAGATCAAGTGGAAATTTATCTTCAAGACTAAGCGGTAATTCAAGCTATATTAGGTTTAGAGACTCAACAGTTAAGATCCCAGAAAAGATAAGTAGAACACCCACGCAAGCAAGCACGTCCCATCGCATAAGAAATACAACCACTGGCCAATATAAAGCCACAGCTGCAACAGAAGCTGGTAAAATGCATCCTAAAGTTCGATCGGATAAAGGCAGCGGTATGTTTACAATTGAATATAATACACGTATGCCTACAGAGAGTATTGATGAACGGATTGAGAGAATATCTAGCAAATATAGTCCAAAACATTCTAATAAACCTGTTAAAAAGGATGAAAACATTCCTTTAAATATTGATGAAAGGATTCAAGCTATAAACAGCAAATACAAAACAAGACGAAATGATATTATACAAGGAAAAGGTGTTGGTTCAGATCATGTATATTCCACGGATGTAGACAGAGCGTGTAATAGTAAGAGATCTCCTTCGACTGTCGGCTCTCCCATTAGTGGCAAGACATTACATACACACAATGGATCATCGTTTTCAACAACACCAGGGTTTCACTTAAGTAAGGATGAAACCCCGATGAATCAAGGCACTTCACAATTGAGACTATCACCTAATGCATCAATTCCAAAAGGACAAAGTTTGACAAATAGTGCCTATCCTCAACAGGCATATCCGCCATGGACTTCTGTTAATGGTATCTCGAACGGTCAACCATATTTTCAATACCCATTTCCGTACCCTCCAAATTGGAATCAGTATCCTCCATTTTATTCAGGAAATATGGAAACAATTCTCCAGCAACATCTTCAACAGCAACAACAAACGCAAAATCTAGAGAGCCAGAAACGAAACCAAAGTACGAACATACAACCTGAAGAACAACATCAAAGTAAAGACCAAATCACACAAAATCGTAATCAAATTGTAGAACAAGATCAGCAGCAGATACAAAGACTTGAGAAACAAAACGAGCATCAACTACAAAAAGAACAGCATGGAATACAGAAACAAAATATGTATGAAGATCAAAAAGTAGATAAAACTGAACGTTGCAAACGTGAAAAGTATAGAAGTAATGCAGCAAGTCCGTATGCGGACCAAATGTTTGAACTGAAATCAGATGCAGAAAATACACATATTGCAAAGGAAAGTGAAATGAAAGAGTATGAACGTGGTCACAGCTCTGAACTGAAAAAGAAATGTCCTTCCGGTCTAGATATTGACACTGTTCCGAAACAAGAAGGCACATCAACCGATAAACATGATCAAGAGAGAGCTGAAAATGATATTATTTTCCCTACAGCGACATTTGGTACTCGTGAGATTGAATCACCTTATGAGAAAATAGCGCCAGACGGGTTGGAAAGTACTGAGGCTGCAAACCTCTTAGGAAAACGTTCAATAGAAATAACACCTATTCCTGGAATATCCAAACATAAAGAGGCCTATCTTAACACAAAAGATCATGATCATGAAGCATTAACTTCCGATATCAACTTGTCACCTGAATCACGTAACGATACGAACGAAGATATTGAAGAAATTATTGGAATGAAATTAAAAAGTACGGCGAGTATACCAAATCATTGCACACTGGATGACAATATCGACTCCAGAATTAAACCCAATCCGCATCTATCACTATTTGATGATACAGATAACGACGACTCTAGTTTATCAATAATGAATAAAACTAGTATATTTGCTGAAGAAATCGGCGAAGAATCATCTGCAGAGTATGATTCAAATACTCAATCTTATCTCGATCTTCCTGATAGGGTCACGGATACTGACATTGAAGGTGACACAGATACAGAATCTGTGCGTAGAGATTTCTATGAAAATACTAACAGAATAAAAGAACTTTTAGACGGTCCGCAAAATGATTTTTCAGATGTCTATAGGCACAAACTCACAAGGAATACTACTTCTTCAGCATCATCACAAGGTTAGATTTATATAGAGGGAGATTTGACCTTTATGTAAAATGGTGGTGGTGATACATTGGATGAAAAGTTTTTACCTACAATGTTATATTTTAAGTTTGCTTTTTCATAGATCTTATTTATATATTCAGTTAGATAGATATCTTATTTATGTTTTATTGAATTTTGTTTAAATGCTTTATATTTACGTAATATCTTAAGTTCTTTTTATTGAAACATACATGTAGTTACAAATCCTGAAGTAAAATTGTGCAATTGCTTTGTTTAAATATTTTCATGTACACGATCTATACAGTCTACGATATATTTCATACAAAAATAGTTTTTGCATCAAATTTAACAACAGATAAACATGCACATATGTTCTGGACTTTTCATTTGAATACATTCCGCTACATTTTTGAAATAAATATCACATCACTTGAAGAGAAGTTGTTTTAATGCAGAAAATTAGCACTTATTGATTAAAATATTTATGATTGAACGGAAGTGCAGCATTATTATGTCCAATCGTAAGTTAAAATATACATGATGGTTGCGAACATATACATATTTAATGGCTTCATGTTAAATTTGATAACACTTCAATGAAAATTACTTTATAACATAAAGATTATGATGTCATGATTTATGATTTGTTGATGTCAGGGAGGAAAACGCATGATACCGGTTGCATATTTAAAAAATGAAACCATAGCTTGAGCATGAAATTAAGAAATTTGTTTGTTTTACGTGTTAGATCTTTATCCTTCACTAAAACTTACATTGCTCATGAAAATGTCACATATCTGGTGTTTACTTCAGTCTTATACAGATGTATACAAATACCCTCAATTTCAGACATACTTGATCTGGCTTTATAAGCTAGTCGGTGTGGAACTAAATCTTAATCCTAATTTGATTAAGATTCAAGTCCCAAGTATTAAATACATGCCCCTGACCGAAAATACCTTTTCTTGATACATTTTGTCGTACAGTGGATTGGTCGTTAATGGAAGGTTTGTCATACAATAAATAATAACATTGATAATATTCAGTGTCAGACATAACAACAAACCACGGAATAATTATATATGGATGTTGTTGGCAAGTGTGAGAAGCACGAATTGATGTAAGATATATCCGTACAGTAGATAATAAAATGTTCTAGAACAAAATATTATTATTATTCATCATATAAATGTTCATGCTAAATCACTTAGAACTTTATCAACTTTTTTCATGTTATTTTTTATAAGAACATCCAAATTCTACATTTCGATTATTGTTATCAACATTTAAAATACTTAAGAAAATTAAGACAAGTCCACTTCAAATATATATGATGTATCTATATATATATTGAAAGTTTCGCTCGAGATAATATAATATGTGTAATATTAGGTAGAAAACTGTTTGTTTACACTTTATTTTCGCATATACATTCTTAAACATATATTTTCAATATAACATCTAAAAAATAAAAATTCCATTCCGCATTTTTTCCACCGCGTAACTTCGGCAAATATATCGACAAACTCAATAATATAATTATATAAGTATGTAAACCGGTAATTTATAAAGACATGTATATAATAATTGTTTGGGAACAATGTGTGATCCGATTTAGCATGAGTGATTTCCAATTTTAGCAATATTTGTTTATTATAGCAGTAAGCGCAGTTTCATATGTATCTACTTTTGCTTTTTTGTTTATTTTTTGTTTTTGTTTGGAAAAAGTATAGTCTATAAATGCAAACATATCAGTCTATAAATGCAGATATAGGTTGTACTTCAATTTCAAACATTTTTAGTTTCTTCTGTATACGCTTTTCCTCTTATCTCCATGTTCAATATACTGTATACATATATAAAATGACAGAATATAAATTGTCTATTAAAATTTATTGACAAGTGTTGATATCCCTTCCTTTAAACTAAACCTACCTTGCTGACATTTATGTCACATATCAACAGATGGTTTCTACAGATGAAGAATGTAATGTATTCAAATCCTGTTCGATTAAAGCCAATGAGTGAGTACATGAACATGTTCAATGTAATTACATTGCTTGAGATGGATAAATGAATTGTCATTGCATTTTAAGAATCTTTAGTAAATGTTGACAGTTGACATTCGTGTCTATATATAAAAAAATGTTATAATAAAGAATCTCAACGTATCTATCGACATTACAACATCAAAATTAACAGCGGCACCATTGACAAAATGTGATTATGTTCTTGGTCATGATATTGATAATAACGCTGACTTTGGTGATGGTGATTGTGATGATTATTAAAATGGTTGTGGTGACTTTAACAACGACAATGATAAGATATGTAATACTTATACGTGTCCTTTCTTATACTCAAGCTTCTTTGGAGATACTTGACAGAATTCCAACGGCCAAAAGGGAACAGGTAAAACAGCGGCGTGCTGCGCTCGTGTGTATATTCTCCTTTCTTGACACGAGAACATTGTCACGTGTTGCACGGGTTTGTCGTGAATGGAGAATTGTTAGTAGGAGTCCGAAATTGTGGAGAAGAGTAGAAATTAGAGGGGAGAAAATTTCGTCACAGGTGATGATTTAAATGATCTAACAATATATAAACATTGCCCTTTACAATTTTAGGCTAGAATAATTGGGAATTCATTTTTTTTATGAAAATTGTCATACGTTTGAATAATTTACATAACTGCGAACCAGGAAAATATGCCTGGAAATTACTAGTAGAAATTCATAGTGTTTATAGATATATATTGCAATTATCAAATCCAGAAAATACTGTGATTATCAGCTCATATGTAACGCAACGTTTTACGATATATGTTAAACATAAGAACTAAAGTTTAATCAAATTGCGTAATCATATAAACCAAGTAACGTGATGATACCAACCTTATATCAAGCATGATATAATTTACAGAGTTAAACAAACTTATTTCTAACAAAATACTATTAATGTCAATGAATTGATTTTATTTATAAAGACGGCAAATAAATTAATAATGTTTTAGGTTAGAGACTAATTTTTTATGTATTGATTTTTATACTAAATTTGAATAAATCGACGACATAAATAATCTAAAAACAAATTATAAAAGTGCATTACATGATTTTATGACGAAAAAGCTAAGCTAACAGAGGGGAATGGTTGATACCGTTCTATTTGTTTTGACATCCCAAATAAAAGTGACATCATGAGTGAGAATATAGTATTCTTTTTCAGTTCTTAAGACAAATATCTCGAAGATGTTCACAGCTACGTGTCCTCATTCTCGAAGGTATAGACCTTTTACATTTCAGCAGTGATATCTATATATTATGCTCCATTTTTAGTCCTTGTGGCGCCGTTATATGTGGCATCGCCGCTAAATGTCGCACTTGCCGCTAAATGTCGCACCATTGCCGCAATTGTAACGATTATTGTTGCACGATTTTCCCTTGCCGTTTAATGCTGTTATACTACTGTTTAATGTCGGAAGATGTATATTCATGAAATAATTAAATCAGCTGGTGGTATTAAATCACAATGAACATTGAATAAATGTTTAGATATATTTAGTAACTTTTGGGCAAATAGGAATGTCCTGATCCATCTGCCAACTCAAGATGAAAAGTGCTTTTTAGTGGATTGGTCTACAATTGGCACATTTTCAGGAAATATTTCAAATATTGATAAAAACAGTAGAAACATATCATTTGGATATTCTCACAAAATATTAAATGATCAACAAAATGTTTACCTAGCTTGTTCTACATCATTTAATAAGACATTTATATGATGATTTACCAATATTTTGTTCTCAACATCCACATATAATTCTTGGTTTGTTATCACACATGATATTTAATACTATTAACCTAAATATTTATGGTATTGCATACTTTCCATCGCAGACCAATTCACTTTTATTGTCTTTTTTTGTTTTCAATGAAAATGGAAAAACCATTGATTAAAAGATATTATGCTACTCATCTTTTAAGTATATCGCTTTACGTACTTTTGCAAGTTTATACCATCTACTTGCTGTGGATTCGAATACCGCCATGGACTTAGGATTCTGTTATGTGAGAAAGCCATCCGGCTAACTTTCTTATGGTTGTACTCAGGGTCCCGCTCGTGCAGGAGGGGCACCTTAGGTCTTTCTCCACAGTAAAGCTGGAAAGTCGCTATATCTATATGACCCAACTGTGACTAATTAGGACTTAAGAAGTTATAAAAACCTAATTAGAAATTACAAAGTTCAAATTAGGATTTATATTTAGGCTTGTTGATTTTGGTTCCAGCAGAGTAAAGGTGCAGTGTTGGTAACAAGTTATTCATATTTACACAATTGCTTTCAATATCTAAGCTCATTCAAAGTTTAAACAAATTCTCTTATTCAGGTTTAAATCTGCCTTTATGTATAGCATATGCCTTTAACTTTCATTTCTTATATTTTCTGGAAAAGTTTTCGATGCGATAGGTGCATCGAATAAACACTTTTAATGACACGCAGTAACATACGAGGTCCATCAGTTCAATACCATTCCACATTACATGAAAATATAAAGAAAAACCCTACAGTGAGTGACATAACAAATAAGGCTAACTTACATAAACATTTTATCGTAATGAAAAAAAACAACACAACAAAACTGGAGAAAATCCCTGGGAAGCATTAATCACAACAAAATTACATGAAAATTGCAGGCTTGGTTTGATTGAGTCTTGAGTCTGTACATGAGGGATAATGAAAAAGTGCAAAATCCCTTACACCCCTAGCACCGGCTTAAGCGGTACTTGATTTTCAACACTTAAAAGTTGTGGTATAAATGATCCCGAAGGTCCAGAAAAATATAACAACACTGAAGTGAATTTCAAAGCTTGTTTTGTCTTGTAACAAGTTTTATCGGTGCACCTTTCGCACCCTCATCATCATCATCATCACCATCATCTCTGTCATGAGAAAATATTGTAAAAATTAGTATAAATAAATGTACGATCGAAAAAAAAGTTAGCCACTTTCAGATCATTTTTCGTCATCATAGGCAGCCTCGGAAATACATTGCTGTCTACAACGGCAGCATTTTCACTTCGACCGTGCTAGTTTGGACGCCTGCAATATTCTCAAGAAAATACTCATTGGGTTCGTGTTTTGCATATACGTAACCTAAAGTCATGATTGCATCAATGAAATTTGTAAAACTCTGATTGTGATTGTGGAAAATAATAATACCTATAGTATACGGATAAAACCGCAGGCAACTATGCTTGAAAGTGAAAGTGAAAGGCCGACACACATTAAATAAAAATTGATCTGAGATTGAATTTTGATTGAATCTTTCTAGAATAAACTTCTCAGTGTGTTCGATCCATCCCAATCTGATGTCTTAGCTTGAATACGCGACATCTTGGTCGCTAAATAAAATAAAACGTGTACAAATGTGTTTTACCACCAATGGGGCTCTACAGTATAAAATGGTGCGGCAAATTATTTTGAGACGTTTAGCCGCGGTTGCGGCATTTAGAGGCAATAGCGCGACATTTAGCGCAAGTACGACATTTAGCGTCCGGCATCACAGTTAATCAAATGCCACTTTTAATTAAATAGACTATACATGTTAATTTAAAATTTCTGAAATAATGCAAGACTTTTTAATGTCTCTAATATTAAGTTAAGAGGAAACTGGTTACAGTGTATTTTTCATTAAGACACATTTATGAAAGTGTACACCCGACGATTTATATTTTCACTATCTTATCATTTGTTTCCTAATAAAATAATAAAATATTATATTTCTTCGTCAATTAACTATGCTTCATAATAGTTCTATGAGATATTTATAGATTTACATCCGAGAAACAGAAATCACGAGGAGTCTGTTGAAGATTACCAAAAGAACATCAGGTTAGTTTAACAATATTCTTTTTACATATGAGCCGCGTTCCTTGTGGAATTTAAAATAGATCAGTGAGCTGACGTTAAAAGGAAACGTCATAATTCGAACGTAAAAATCTTTGATAGTTTTAATAACAAATCGGTATTGTCGTGGTGTTCCCAGTGCCCTTACAAATCATCGGCTACAAATGATGATGCAGATGATGGATGTGCATATATATTTGCCAGTTGTTTCATGTCTCAAGAATTATTTCTATTTTGATTAGAATTAAAAGTTGCACTCGTATAACAGGAATGCCTATTTTAACGTTATTGCTATATATCTTTATATTGGTAGATGCAGTCTCGAGATTGGATATGAGCAAATTTTGAAGAAAGCAGAGGCCACACTACACACCATCGTCATAGTTAACTGTGGGACTCTTTTCTCTGCTAAGTAAGTCTACATCTTAGTCAATGTGAAATATAAATATATTCTGAACAAATCAAACTGGAAAAAAACAGAATGGCAAAATAGTTTTTAATAATGAATTTTTTAATGAATCAGCACAATCTAAATATAGACCTAGGTCATAAAATAGTCATTCATAGGGCATTACAGTCAAGGGCGACTATTCAAACTATTTTCATTAGGGACAACAATATACTATTTTCCCTTTATAAAAATAAACAACGAATTCATACAAAAAAAAAACGGATATTACGTGCAGTTGTGTGACAACAAAATGTTAAAAAGTAGTATTTTGACTAACACACACAATATTTAATCACTATATTTTTACTTAGTTACTAATTACCAAACACTGTAAAGTTTATTTTCTACGAACGAAAGTGACTTGAACTTTATTTTATCTATTTTTGAAGATGTCTGTGGATAGCAAGCTGTTGTTGTCGAATGTTGAAGCACGTGACCTATGTTAGTGATTTTGATCCAATCAACGCCGAGGTCATGTGGGCTTTGGGATCAGGGTGCAGGGAACTTGTTACTCTAAAATGTCAGCCAATATTTCCATGGTAAATTTTCTTTTATATCTTACTTATTACAAAAGTTGCAAAAAAAAAACGTTGCCGTCACAATATGATCAAAATATTACTGAAATTTTTAAAATGAAAATGTATTTCAAAATGTATTTCGTATAATTATGACACCATTTTTGGTTTGGAACTTGAAAATATTTGAAATATTAGTCAATTTCTAAGTTGAAACAGTGGAAACATAGTGTTAAGACAATTGTTGATAGTAAACAATGTGTCAATCGTGAGCTTGTGCCACTCGAACTAGATGCCATACAAAAAATGAAACATTTAAATTTTATAACGTTTGTTTTCTTTTCATAAATGACCTTTACAGTACGGTAGATAATAAACGCTTTTCCTGTTGAAACTGAAAATAATTAGCATTTGCTATCAGAGTAGATCCTGTAATCCTTACAGTGCGATTAGGCTCTATATTGCCGATAGCTTTTTTTTTATCGAAATCACTTGAATGGACTGTTTCGAATTCAACGCTGAGCAAATCCATTGCACACATTCAAAAGGGCAAACGTTCAATAACTCTAAAACATTTGTCTAAATATAAAGCACTGAATTTTTCTATATTTTGCTGATATTTTTTCAGTGTACATGCTGATAATTTTACAACGAAATGTGCTCAACTGGTAGGGAAGTGTTTTCGTGATCTTGAAATTGTTTCGATTGGTGGGCTGATTGTAGAAGTCAATGCCATGATATTCATTGGTCAGTTCTCCATATACGTCATAATTGATACAATATAATGCATCTCATAGTCTAAAGACTTAAAATAATTTTTCATAAAGGCAAATTAAGCCTAAAAATGACATCACTTTTATTTTTCAAAAGATTTAATTTTTAGTGTCTTTTTATGTTTCCAAAAAGTTACTCATTGGCCATATATCTCAACCATCTTTTGTTTCTTTTATATTTTGGTAACTGGTTTAGTTATAGTGAATATGTATTTCAATTGAAAGTCAAATTAACATTTTGTTTACATTTTGGTATACTCATCACATTTTCTTTTCAAATTCTTTTTTTCGTCAGGTGATAAACACCTCCTCACGTGTTCTAAATCAATAATTAAACACATGTTTGTCCTTTTTACAATTTATTTTTTCATTTCTGAGGCGCCATGTGCCTTTAAGTGATATATACAAAACATGCAGTTATAAGACATTTCTATGGCTCATCGATGGAATAGTGATTAAGTGATTATAACTTTCTATAAACACAGAAAGAGCTAATGCTGAGTTTACAAATTAAACAAAACCTAAATTACAATTGTAGCCAAACAATGCCAGAAACTTAGAGAAATTGAAGTTCATCAGATGCGATTTATATCATGTGACATTATTGATGAAATGTGCCAGAATGGTATCCAATCACTTAGAAGTATTCAGTTTCTCGCGACACCAGTTGCTCCCGGAGCATTGGCTGTTTTGCAAGGTATATTTTAATATTTACCAAAATGACAGTTCTTACATACATATAAGTCTAGAGGCCCGGGTTAAAGTGGTGGTGGTATTGGTAGTTTTCACTCACGGCAGTAAGCCACATTGAATTTACCAGAGCACAGTTCAGCCGCTGCATCGTTGCTGGGTAGGCTGTCAACCACTTTACCAGAACCAGTTGCATTCACTTTCGCAAGGAACTGTAACATCTGTACATTACAGTGCGAATGACCGTAGGATGTCGCAACACTCTACCTACTGAGCTAACCAGACGGCTATCGGCTCGGGTTATATATGTAGACAACCATTTATAAAGGGCCAAATGACCTGTCAAGAATTTTTATAACTAATAATATATTTTCTGACATATTTTTTTCTGACACATAGCACTTTTAAATATTATCAACAAATGAAAATGTTAATATATGTACCCGAGATTTGAAAATTATTCTTTTTTTAATCATGAACATGAAGCCTACTGCTTCTTTCATTTATACATGTAGTTCTCCCTGTTATGATTCATAAAAGTGCACGAAAGGTTCGGATTGAACCGTTTAATTTTATCCGAGTTGTAATATATTTACAGGAAATTGCAAGCACCTAGATGTCATTTATATTCAATTAACTGAATCCGATTTCACAGCGTCTGTAACCAATCAAAGTGCCACATCACAAATACCGGAATATCATGAAATCGTGGACGGATATGAGGTAGTGTATATGAATTTATACATAATATGTGTTGTGTTATGTATAAAAGATACCCATAGTCTGATGGTGCTAAATTTGATTAGCCTTTGTCATAATCATAGGACCAGGCAAGCTTGTACATCCATGTCGTCTGATCTGGTCCTATACTGTTGGTAGCTTAATGTTTTGAAAAGATCAGCCAATGCCCTGACAATATGATGAAATTATTTATGTATTCAGTCAAGAGACAGACATTCAAATTTGATATGAGTGACCGTTATAATGTAGAGGTTTTTCATTTACATACATCGATGTGCTAATAAATTTCATCTTTCATTTTGACATCATGTCTCAGCAGCAGAAAATAATCCCAAATCTGTTGCTTCTACTATTGTTATATTGCAAAGTTTATTTATATCACTTAGACACTTATAATAAGACGAGGTTCTTTTAATATTGTAGGCTTTAAAGAACCAACCATCATTGTGCAATATCTTGGCGTTAAAAGTGGAACGCCCTAAAACGCCGCAACCAGTAAAAGAACCTTTACCGGAACGTTCATTCTTTGATCGTTTATTTGGTAAAAATGAATGAAAATACCGCTTTTTCTACATGAGTTTATAACAAGAACTTATTCTCTAAGCGTTCTATGGTAAACGGATAAAACCACCCTCTAATATAATCAGAAGATACAGGAGAACTAATATGGAAACATTAGGGCGACAGTATTAAAATCCCATTGTTGTCACTGGACTGTCCCGAACCGAGTATTGTTAACTTAAAACAAGAACGTTGTTAAATTAAAACAATTTCATATGTCATTGTTTGAATGAAGACTACATAATAATCTTTATTAAAGTCTCATCCATACATAACAACATACAAAAAAAGTTTAATTACATAATTTTACAATATAAAAATTGTTTGTGTGCGGTCATTCTGTAGACAGACTGTAAAAGTTACATAGTGGAAGGGAGGCAACTCCCAAGCGCTCATACTGCAAGGATATCCAGTATAACTTACAGAGTTACCTCTCTTCATGCCTCAGATATTTCGTTTAATAAGCAGATTTTCTGTGTAAATGAAAAATGTAAATATATATTCATATTCATATTGCATTAACAATAATTGTTTAAATTACATTTTCAAACAAAGTTAAAAACTTTGAATGTATTTTTGATTTTATTGTTGATACTCTATTTTTTGTAAATAGGTCAATCTATTGAGCAATGAGCCAGTAAAAGTGGTAAGGAAAGTGGCATTGTTTTTATGGAAGACTCATTTAAGTTCTAATTTTCCTCATAGCTATTTATTTACTTATTCATTTTTGCTTTATAAATAATGTGTATGTCCTCATGTATTTTTTCTTATTTCTAACAGTCTTCTTTAGTGTTCTGATTATTCAAAACAATTAATAGATATTTATCATATTCCTGGAACACGTATTTGATATTTGAGTTGCTCAAGGCCAGTATATATTATTTATTTTTCATATTTATTTTGCTATTTTATCCAAAGTTGTACTAACATAAAGTTTGGTTTATAGGTGACAACAAATATTTATAATACTCTGATGAGTTACTGATAATGTTTTCACCAGCTGCAAGAATATTTTACTAGTGTTCAACACTTCAATTATTTTGTGACATTATAAATTTTATAATATGAGAATGACATGAAGTAATATATATGTGATACATGTAAAATAAATTACATACGAGGAATGATTCAGATATTCAATTATATTTACTAAAAGTTCAAAGAACAAAGTTTTTTTTAACATGACTGTTTTTTTTCTCGATTTTACATCAAGTTCCGGCAAACTTTGGACAAAATCAATTTTTTGTATCAGGCACATTGGTGTATTATAAAATTTAAAAAAATAAAAATGTGTACGTCGTGTTTTTTGAGTGAGCTGCACCACTGTGGCGTTTCATTGGTTATTTAAGGTCTGGGACGGCACTGTATGACATTAAATCAATAATTTTATGCATAAATACATGAAACCTCCAACTTTACGCAGGTATAAATTTATTTTATTGAAGACAACCTGATATTTATCCGAATAATAAACAAATTCCGGATAATTCTGGATCATCCCTCGTTAAAGTACATATACTCATGCATTGACGCTTGCCAGTATGTTTTTTTTTTCATTCAATTAGATATCATAATTGACAAAATTAAAGATCAAATACTCGACATGTTAACCCGGTGAATACTAAGTAAACTTTGCACATTTATATGCCTTCGTAATGAGATTAATAAAAGAGTAAAAATATGTCCTCTTGTTTATTGGCAATTATATTTTTTTACCTTATTAAACACACACACACACGCACGCACGCACACATGCACCAACACACGCGCACGCGCGCGCACACACACATATATATTTGTATGTGTGGAACATAAGATGTGTCTGACGACAACATACTAATTAGTTTATACTAATCTATTTTAGTTTGACTGTGTTGAAAGCTATAAGCTTATTGAATCACTCTAGAATCCGTTCCTGGAACCAACCAATTTTGAGCAATGAGTATAAATTCTATTGCTCACGGAAACAACAGTTTGCTCCGGATGGGGTTTGAACCTACGCGACGTTAACCATACGGCCTCGCCGCCACTCAACATACTAAATGACACTGTTGCATTAGACGTACATCATACTGGTCGAAATAATTAATAATTAATGAACTGTAGCAGGGGACGGACAAGGCTCAGAAGAGTCATTTGGGCAATGGTCGATCTCTAAATTGTTCATGGTATAGTAAATACCTTGTCGAATGCCATATAACAACAGAACCTCTTGACTTTTTCTGACAATGTTAGTCTGGTAATGAATAGCTAGTCATGGTCGATTCTAATTTTTTTGTGATCTTGATTGTCTCAACACTATACGGTATTTGTTTGTTATTATTACCGTTAATGGGAACAAACACATACGGTTTTGATAATAAATCCGAAAAGATTTACATTTTAGCAGACATCTCGATTAAAACTTGCAGTGTATTCAATTTAATCTGTTCGTCCACCAATGTTCAAAAATTGTGAATGTGTTTTAAGACGTTCTTGTATTATGTATGATGTTAGGGCAGAAAGTTATTGATATGTTCCATACATTGTTAATTGGGAATTGCCTCCCTTCTAAGCTACACAAAAATTCACTTGTCATAATTGTGTCTCCTTTCGAGGCGTGTTTGTCGCGGTGAATGCTTGTCATGGCTAACCCGGAAGACCAAGTGCTACAGAAGTCCGTTTCGACAAAGATTTCTTTGAAAGTATTGACTTCTTGCGGAAGGGTTCAAAGGCAGCATTATCAGTATGAGAAAATGTCGCCAATGGACTGAGACCTGCGAAGCATTGCTAGGGAAGTGGATATAAGCTCTGGTTCAGTTCAGGCAATTCTGACTGATGTCTATGACATGTCAAAGGTTTCCACTTGATGGGTCCCCAGACAGTTGACTGACAACCAGAAACGGACCAGGCTTGACATTTCAAGATATCTTTGTCTCGCTACGAGGATGAACCTGATTTTATCTACCGGATCGTAACTCAGGATGAAACAAAGTTCCATCACTTCGATCCAGAATCCAAAAAGCAGAGTATGCAATGGAAGCACCCTGGTTCACCCCCTCCGAGAAAATTTAAGAGAGTTCTATCAGCAGGGAAGATGATGGCTTCAATTTTAATCATGATTGACTGTCTTGAGCAAGGTCGTACCATAAACGGTACGTACTATGCAGACGAATTGAGATGTCTACGTCAAGAAATCGCGCGTGAAAGGAGATGCAAACTGACTCAAGGCGTTCTGCTCCTGCATGACAATGCTCCAGCTCACACATCCAAAGTTGCGATGGCTGCGGCCTTGAAACTCTTCACCATCCCCCATATTCTCCGGACCTTCCCCATTTTGACTTCTGCCTGTTTTAACTGAAAACCAAGCTTCGTGGTAAACGTTTTGGAAGCAATGAAGGTGTCACAATGGCGGTCAATGAGTTCTTTGAGGACCAAAATAGAGAGTTCTATTTTGAAACACAGGTGGGCAAAGTGCATTGATGGCAATTGTATTGAAACGTAAAACCATTAGTTGGGTTCTCATACTACCGGAAGTACATCGGATCAAGAACTTTTTTGATCAAACCTCGTATCATTTTAATTGGCTAAATAAAATTTGAAGTCAAAAACGAAACAAGAAATAATATGAATAGATTTATAGACTACTAAAATAAAAAGAGATATAATTTTAGCCCTAAAGTAGTAAAGTTGGTTGCGGCACTAAGCACTATTTTGTCTCTTCAATGTTTTAATATCTATCATTGGCGTGTTTTTCTTTGATTGTTTTTACTAGATAGATGCTTTTTGTTGTTACGTATTCTAGTGCAGAAATAAGTCTTGCAAGCAAAAAATTATCCTTGCTGTGATGGTGGGTAAACTGCAAGTTATATATAAGTTATCTAAACGGCATCCTTAAATGTGCTATTTTGTATAGAAACTTGGTCGATGTCCTTTCAGTGACGGCTACATTGTTAAAGGATCTTGATGACTCCATAACTAAAAAATTAGTAAAAATGAACCCATAAATTGTAATACCTGATAATAAAAACACAACAGTGTTCTGTAACGTTGAAACACAAATGAAATGGACTTGTTGTTTCTAATGCGCTCGACTACGAAGGTGACAAGAGTTGCACATTGACGTTTGGGAACATTATACTCTATTATGAAAAATAAGGTAAAACTATTCTGTTATCGTGTGACAAACATGGATATCTTGCTGTTAATGAAAACAAGTATGTCTTTGAAGCACGGTGAAAGTCGAGATAAAGTTTACTGGTATAAATAGAACATATTTGAAACACGATGACGGCTAAAACAAAGTTACAAAAGAAGCCATAGAATACAGAATTGTCGGTAAGTTATACAAAATTGTCGGTAAGTTAACAATAATGAAAAGGAATTTATTCAAATACAAACAATAACAAGAAATGTGAGTAACATGATAACGTATAGGTAAGGCAAACGGGGACATACATGCATAATGCAACTACCAATTTTAAGTCATATTAGTATGTTGTCCGAGTTTAACAACCAGAATGGAAATAATCGGATGAAAGACATCCGAAAGACATCCCTATATTATGTATTGAGTAGTTACAAACAATGAATAAAACGAAATATAATTTGTTTGACTGCTATGAAGATAAATGAATGTAAGGTTAATGGCAGTATTAAAAAAATTAAAGGAAATAAACTGACATCTGTTTTTTTGTTGTTGTTTTTTTTCCCTTGAGATATTTGACATTTTTAAAGCGGACCCAAATAACGGACAACTTCCAATGAAACTAAATACATGTAATTCGGAAACAAATATAAAAACAACAGTATCTATAATAAAATGAATAAATAAATATTCATAAATATCTATAAAATAGAGAAAGAAAGCTAAAAAATATTGCATAATTGTAAAGTAGTCACGTGCTTATTCTCATGCCGTAACGTTTTTTTAAGGAGACAAAAATATTGTCGAATAATTATTGGCAATTATTATGAGTATCAATGTCAGTTATTGTCAACAATTGTACTATAACGTATCATAAACAGATGTGAACTTGGTGACATACAAAAATAGATAGAAGATTTTTTTTTATGTTACAATCAATTATCATTGAGCGATAATTTTTTATACAATATTTTTATACTCATCAGAATATATTTTCTTCCATTGTTCATATGCTGATACATTACTTATTTGAGTATATGACAAAGTATACAGTAGACAAATGACTAAAAACTATGTAATTAAAACATAATTTTTTCTAGCCACAACAATGATGTTTTTTCCAAATATTCGCGATTTATTGTTGTTGCCATCATAATCAATTAAACAGCAGAAAGATTCAAGTCTGAATTAATTGAATAATTAATTGATAAGCTATCTATATAGACATGCCAAAAATAAAATTCGTACTCACGTTTATCTAGTTTTTAATTTTCTATTAATTTTAAGCACAACAACTGTACAAATGTATTTTTGTTGTTTCTTTTTATTTTTAATGCATGCATAATTTAATGTTAATGCATGTATAATTTACAACAAAATGTCTAAATGCACACAGTTTAAGAGCCAAGACATTACTGGAAATGAAAAAAATGACTTAAATTTTAGATTCCTTCATAAAAGCAATTTATTTGATACTCGTGTGTTAAACTCACTAAGTTCGAATCTATAGAAAAATGGTTACAAGATATACCGTCTAAAACAAGTTCGAATCTGGATTGAAATTTTTACAATCATTTGTTCTGTTCTGTAAATTCAGAACATTTCAAAATCATAAATGAAAGTAAATTTCATACAATTTAGATAAACGAAATCGTGCATTATCATACAGTAGTATCTAAGCCACTGTAAGTTTAATATATAAACTAGCTTATGTGCTTAGATTTATGAAACATTTTTTTTTGTCATTACATTACATTACATTGATAATTTGATAGACAAGTGAAATTATAACAGATTTATAGCATAATAACAAATTAATTTTGATGTATTATTAGACAATGAAGCGGAAAAATGATACATCTAAAAAGAATGAATTTAATATGAAAAACTTATTTTCGCATAAAATTCTGATTTATGGAAGTAAATATTTTTCCACCGCAGCTATACCGACGCCGAGGAAAAACAATGAATTCTGTATATCGTCAAATACCTTTAAATTTAAATAAACACTTAACATGAATAGCCATTAATCATTGTCAACATAGTTTCAGTGTCTGAAACCATGAAAGTCTTGTCATTACTTGTAAAATTATACGCTTAAAATAAAAAAAATCAGAAGTTGTATTGTCTTTGATTTAAAGTTTCGCCATCCCGATGGTCTCTATTGTCTGAAAGATCGGCTATTTGATATTGCATCTGGTAACACTTCGAATAAAGACAATGAAAAGTTTGTATTAGATCTGTTATACAAAACCAAAATTAAACCAAAACATACGTTAATCTAATATATGAAAAGCGACTCTGTGAGGGATTTTAATTTCCCACATATAAAACTACATTGAGGTAGATTGGCATTTATAATTTACACAAGAGTTTACTTGACTTTTCTTTCAAAAGCTCATTACCATTGTCTATTCTCCATGGACCAAAAGTCTTGTTTGAACTTACTTTTGAAAACTTAGAAGCCTTCGAAAAATTCTTGCGTAAAAATCAAGCTCGTAAAGTGAAGACAGACAGCAAAGATAATTTTTATAGGCACTTAACTAGAGATTCTGTGAATTTGTTGATTTATTTTTCGAAAGTAAACTTACTCGCGTAAAGACAACTAAGATAAGGGGAAAATGGAATTATTGGAGTTAGCCTTTTTTAAAAACAAATGAAAAAGATTATAGGACTGATTGGTTCAAACATACGTAATCTCGACTGTGTTCTTGCAAGTTATATAAATCATTTTCGAGTCCACTATCTGGAACTAACCAGTACTGGTGGCATATGACGAAATATGAGGACTAAAGCCTACGATCCCTAGATTGAGAGAAAAATAACAATCCCACCACGGCCAACGCCCAATTTGTAGATAAACCGATTAAAAGCATTTATAACCGTATACACTCCTTAAAATGTCCACAATCTATCATTAATTAATTTCTCATATTTCATAATTGACAGTGAATTAACATATTTCAACTGTAAGTATGATGAAATGCAACGCAAACATGAATAAAAAATTATCAAAATTTAACATGTCACATTTAATCATTTACGAGTATCTGAATCATACTCACAACGATATATTAGCCAGTCAAAAATGTAGATTTCAATCATATCATGCCTGTACTGTTTCATTATTGCCTACATGAAAGATTGCATGGTTAGCAAGGAGATACAAACCATATGATTTTACATAATGTACATTGATGCATTACTTTATTTTCCATATGAGGAAACAAATATAAATGTGGTCTTCTTTTATACCATTTTTGGGGAGGCTATGCCGACCCAATGTTAATAACTGTCTGTCAAATCTTACTGCCGCGGTAATCAGGTCAAAAAATAGTACCTTGATTTTTTCTAAGCTGACTCATCACTCATCACAGACATTTACAATATGAAAATATTTTCATTCTTTAATTTCATATCTGCAATTTGTAAAGATAATAATTCTCTGAAAAATTCTTGATTTTTGTTTAAATCACTACTCCGTGACGTCATACTGCCACGGTAATCAGGTCAAAAAATAGTACCTTGATTTTTTCTAAGCTGACTCATCACTCATCACAGACATTTACAATATGAAAATATTTTCATTCTTTAATTTCATATCTGCAATTTGTAAAGATAATAATTCTCTGAAAAATTCTTGATTTTTGTTTAAATCACTACTCCGTGACGTCATACTGCCGCGGTAATCAGGTTTAGGCATATTACGTACGTCTGTATTAAATAGTTCTGGTATGAAAACCCTTCAAAATAATAACTTTATCCATATTTTTTTTAACAAAAAGCATAAATGAAAATTTATAAGTAAATGCTTTAATTCAGTGGCAAATATTCTTTATTATTTTTGATAACAATTTTCCAATTACTACGCAGCGACCAACTGTTTATGACGGGTCATTAACTAGAACGTTGCAACTACGTATTCTCAATATCATGCATGTGCTTTTGTTGTTATAAACTATTAATAGTCCTTAATATTTTTTAAAGACAAATAATTGTAAACTGTCGCTTACATCAGAGACATGTTATAGTATATAGATAACTAAGGAAAATAGTATATGTTATAGTATATAGATAACTAAGGAAAACTAACTTATTTGTACACCCCAGGAGGCTGTACGCGGAAAACGCTCATAAACCGCTAAATCATATAGCTGTTTAGTAAATATTTTGCATACATTTAACTAAAAATTCACTGATGGTGATGAACATATAGTTTAAAAACATTTTATTCTTTAACCATTATCGCCGAAAAAAACTATTTAACTACAAAACCCCTAAGGACCTCCGACAAAATCCCAGCACAATATTACAGTTTACATTAGCAAAATAAAAAAAAGCAATACTTATATTTTCATCTTACATAATTCATTAATCAAAACTTTTAACATAAAAGTATCTTTGGTAATTGACAGATCCCTACTCTGATCTTTTATTTGTATAGGAATAAATTTAAACATGTGCTCTTTTGTTTAGGAATATTTTGTAGTGAAAGTCTTATATATTCACTAATCTCATAATTAGAATTAGACAGGTCAGGAATTTATACAAACAGTTGTTTAGTTAACTATGCTCATTTTAATCCCAATAGAAACATTCAAATATTTGTGGTAAAAAACATGACCAAAGTACCTAGTAGTCGTTTACCCGGTGGTGATCCCATTAAACTGATTATAGATTCGAATTGATTAGAAAACACAAATAGAAACATGTGTTTCCGTACAACAAAATCGGAAGTAAAGTGAACAGTTAATTGACAGAAATATGTGGTCAAATATGTTTTAACAAGGAAATAAGTATTTCAGAGAAAGACGCAAAGATCAGTATGACCCCGTATTGTGTAATTAGAAAGTTTATTCAATTCTAGGGCATACATCATAATTTGATAGTCCATTTGTAATAAAATTCAAATTTTCAATACAGATTATGAGATACATAAAAAATATTAAAGAATAAGAAGCTTTAATTAAAAAACAAAAACAAAAAAAAAACAAAAAAACAAAACAAAAAAACGCATACATATACAAATTACTTACAGTCGAGCATCGGGAAGTCATTAACATATCTTACGAAACTTTAATTTGAAACCGATATTTGCTCGCGCTGAAGTGATAAATGTTTATTTGAAAAATAAAAAAAAAGAACTTTTATGGTTGTGTTCTAAAAATAATGGGCGGCATAAGAGGAATTTCTTATTCATTTTACAACACTTGAAAAATTACTACAGAAAATGTGATGTTGTTTTGTTTTCAACAAAAGTGTGTGTGTTTTAAGTTTATTTATACTCGGCGCCGGAATAACCATATGTCCGAGATTATAGCATCTGGGACGTCTTTTTCAAGCAGATTCTTCCTGGAAGCCCATTCTTCGTTCTTTGGTGGTAAAGGAGACGACAATACCGTCAAGGCATCAACTTTCTGACTGACGACAACAAAAACGGCATCTATTAGCGCCAAACCTCCAGAGTAAGTCACCACAGGTCAACCAATCACCTCTGGTACTTATGATGACTTGACTATGACCTTCCGTGTGCCTTCTCCGCGACGTGCACGCCTCTGGAGGTATTTGGAGTAGTTTCAACAAAAACTTCCAAAACACGCCATTTATAACACCATTCATAGCACTGACGGCTTCGATGTTCTCATCTATTTGCGGGAAATGGTCGACAGGGAAAACCCTACGTAATAACCGCACACCCTGTTAACAACAGATTTTCCGCAGTATATATTTCAAGCTAGTGAGGTTTAAAAATACACGTAGAATCTATCGATTAACTACCATAAGTTGGTTGAGTGTTGAGTGTTGGCGGTAAAAAAAGAAGATATAACTTCCTGATCAATTTTCACTTAGGTTGATTCAGTTTTGAATAAGCTTTGCAGAGATGTATTTTTTCAAGAAATATTTAGCTTTAATATTATCCGACGCCGTCAGTAATGAAATGGGATTAATTTTCTGAAACGTGATTTTATTCGAGATTTGCTTCTGAAGAAGACAACCTTCTGTCCGTAGAGCATGAATGTTAATACTCATCACAAGACAGTATCTTATTGGTCTCAATTATGGTACATCTAAACGTGTATAATTTTTATGTTCAATAAAAATGTTGCATCACGTGCAGTTGTTATTATCATTCAATAATATTAAAATGACATAAAATATTTATGATGAACAGTCCTAGAATATTTTGATAAGGAACCGTCAGTTGTAAAATGTTATTGTTATCTGATAATGAACAGTCGTCATACTTGCTGGTATGTCATTTATTATTGACAGTTTAGGTTTTTCAAAATTTGCATGATTAACAGTCCGAATGTAGACCTTAATTAAATGTTCTGGAATATTAACAAAATGAATAGTCAACCTCATTAACCATATATATGAATGGTTGAACACAACAGTAAGGATAAATAGCGCAATGTGCATATCTTTTTATTTTGGTAGCATATTTTAAGCAAAAAGAAAAGAAACTATAAGTCTGAAACATTCTCTCATAGCCTCCCCATCAGTACATTCAGTGCTTTGATTTGATTACTCAGCTGATTTCTTAATTACTATTTTCATCATGCTCGTGATATTGAAAACTAGTGTGTCGACCCTTTATGCAAATTAAGTAAAAAATAAAGCTATAATTAAACAGATGTCACAACAATTTTATGAATTCATGAATTAATTCAAGTATACATCACCACTAATTCATTGTCTTTGTCCATCTATGTTTTTTATCATTCTTATGTAACATATTTATTGCTAAATAGAGGGGTAAATGAGTTAAATCGGAAAATTCTTAGTCCGAGTTTTGTGAAAAGCCTCGCAACGCTTCTTCATTTTTGGGTCATTTGCACAATAATTTGATTATTCTGGAAGAACTGGGAGTTGGAATTATCTGAAAATTTGCATCAGACCTACATCAAATGGTAACAAAAACTCGGTCCCATCATGTCAAAGAACGTCAGTAGAGTCCTATCAAAATATGATTATTTGACAAGCATTATTCGGCCGGTGCAAAAAAAATCCTATCAGAATAATTTAAATGATTTTTGTTGCTAAGAAGCTCCTACAAATCATTAAAAGGCATAATTGACCCTTTATTGTTGTAGAAAATCTTCTCCATTATACGTAAAATACATAGTACACTGTGCACTGTTTTGGCCTATGGATGTTTAAATCTTTTTAATCATCTGTAAGAAATAAATAGATGGGGCACACACTCCAAACAGAAAATGAAAACAAAAACACTTTTTAATAGTAAACCATTCATTTTATTTATAAAAACGCTATATCAATTTACATTCTTTTCTTCTTTTATATAAAAAAATCATAGATCAGAATAAACTGTGCGAGTTTTCAGACAAAACTGTTGTTGTTGTTGTTTTCCCCAAGTGGATCACTTTGTCGTCCTTGTCCTAGAAAAAACAAAACAAACAAGTCGGGAAATTGACTTTTGGTACAACCGTCTTTAAAGCATTTAGAGTAATTTGAGGTAAGAGTAACTAAGAGTATCATATGCAACATTTAAATTGTTGAAAAGAATGTTTGTTTTGTTTTTATTCGTTTTTTCGGCGCACCAACAGAATTTATATATGGCGCCGGAACGGAAAGATGGTTTTGCCTAACTCGGTTGTTACACAACTTCAAAGCCACACCAAAGTCAATGCATAATATAAACTAAACAACTGATTATATATATAAATCTATTAATATCTTTTTATATATCTATAATTTACTTACTTTAATAATGTTTCCATGGTTTCCCTTTTGGCCAGTAAGGTCTGTACCTTCCAGGGTACCCCCCATCCATCATTCTGTAAATTATTTCCAAGTAATTTTTATAATTTTTATAAATAAATCTTTTGTATTTTTATTTGGATTTTGGTTTTGCCAACCATAGATCTTTATCGAAAGTTGCCTTTATTTTATTGTATTTGTGAGAAGCAAAGGACCTTTCCTAAACTAGAAAATAGTGCATTTATTAAATTGTTTTTTTCACATAATAATTCACGACAGTCTTGATATAATTCCCTCTGTTGAAAGAAATACTTTTTTCATTACGCTCTACTCTTAAAGTTATAAGTATATACATATACAAGATTGTTATTTTGTGTATTAACCGTATTACATAAAGTGTAGTAAGTAATGTATTAAATAAGAATCAAGTAAACAAGTATTCAGTCATCGTGAAACATATTTCTTCTAAATATCCTTTATTTTAGTCTACGTACATCCCATATCCTCCACCGTGACCGTATCCTCCATTATCTCCATATCCGTTGTCGCCTCCATAACGTATGTAACCACCGAAGCCCCTATACCTCCAACCGTCGTCCTCGTCCCCATAGTCGCCTCGCCATCTGTATCCACCATAATATGGTGTCGCTATTGCCATGGAAAGCAATGCAGCAAGAACTAAAATCGACTTCATTCTTTAAAACAGAAAAAGAGGGACATGGTTATATACAACTTTAGTTCTTTTAATGATTTGAACAGGTTAATGAGTCTATTTGACATATAGATATGTAAGCTATTCCTCGCACAGATATTTAATTTGCTTTGCTGGCAATTTTACATTAAATATATTCTTACAAGTTAACTTTTGCTTATTGTAACAACTATCTTACAAGTTACCAAACAGATTCATTTCGTTGCCATGAAAAGTCAAATTTAAAATATGAGATCTTACCTGTTTGTTTTCGTGTGGTGTTGAATTTATCAGATATACTTTATAACAGTATATATACCCTTGCTCAGAGGAATTGAAAATAAAAAGAAAGAAAAAAAATGACGATGTCTCTGGGTTAAACATTAGATTTTAGCTTTTTTTACGTACACAAAACCACAGTGCACCACTTAACATTGCAACTTGTCCAATCAGATTAAATTCATACTCAATTTCGATGACGTTTTGTCAAATAAATTAGACTTCAAAATAATTTTAAATCTGGTTTTGACTAGCTTATATTTTTTTGATGATTTCCTTATTCTAACTCAAACTGATTTTAGTGTGTCTATACCATTCACATACTATAACCAGCATTTAAAACTGTCAAAACTAAATGGAAATAATAATGGGCGTCAACATGTAAAAAAGATTTGTCAGGTGCATACTATTTAAGGGTCAGCAAAAAGATATATCGTTTAGATCATATATTATAGCTTGCATATTTAATATTTTCCTATGAACTTATGTTTTTGTCGGAGCCCTTCAGAATTCAAAACCAGTGGTCCTGTCCTGTATGGCAGATTTTTTAAGGGATGCGTTCATTGAATGCGGCATTTCCTTGTTGATCTTTGTTGTTTTAATGTATACCAACTTCTCGTAGCATTTTACCTGATGACGCCACCATACTGCGGCAATTAATCTGCTTGCAATATCTGTTAAAATAAACATTTTTATCTCTTTTATTTAAATGTATTGATAATACTGTGTAAAGAAACATCTTATGGAATGCGTATGAAGAAATAATTAATACAATTATTTGGGTTTCACTTCCACTTATTTTGCAGAATATTCAAGTGCCGACAATCAAATAATGTAAATAGTAAAACACGTATGATGTACAGACATTATTATAAAAAATTAGTTGTTAATTGCTTTAATTTGCTTATCATTTATTTGTACATCCCTATACATCCCGCCCTTTGTACTCTTATTGCCCTACTGAATGCTGTTGTGGTTGTCCGGTGTGATTTTTATTTGTTTCGTATAGCTCGTCGATATTTGTTCTCATAAAATCTTCGAAAATTGCAGACTCGGTTTGATTGAGTCTGTACATGAGGGATAATGAAGTGCAACATACTTCACGACTCCTAGCACCGGCTCTAGCGGTACTCAATGTTCAACACTTGAAAATCAATAATCCCGACGGACTAATCGAAGTGAAGTACGGGACAACTTTTTACAGCTGTCACACGGCACTTGACACCTGCTGTTGTGAGGTATAAAAATCTAGAAAAATGTGATCCCCCAAGAAACATAAATCATCACAACAGTGGGTCGCCGAAAATTAAGTCTGTTTAGAATATAAGCACTATTTGCCATATATTACCAGCTTCTTATATGTACTAAGATGGTCATACACGTGACCAAGTTCAATTTGATAATACGTGGGGTTCATAGATCGACTTATTTCATTTCTAGATGTAAACAAGCACTCTTACAGTGTTTCGATGCTTCTGACGAAGATTTTCTGTTTCAATACTTCCTTAAAGGGACTTACTGCGGTTTTTCTGACATGAGGGAACTGGAAATATATTTTCGAGATTTCGAGATCTGTTTAACATTTGTTATATGTCTGGAGTAATAACTTGTGTGAAATTTTTCAGATCATTTCTTCACCCTGTTTTTCCAGAATAAAAATAACTATGAAAAATGAAAATAAATATGAAAATAATAAATGTGAAAAATGACCTAGACATGAAAAGCGGTGCAAAGAAAAATCGATTTTTAGTTTAATTCTGAATATGTTCCTTTATTTTTTCTTTGCAGATTTTTTCTTTTAAAGCGTTTTTACTTCTATTTAAAAGTATAAAACTTGATGTTATTTTTTGCTTTCTTTTCTGTAAGTCTCCTTTAAGTATCAAACGTGGTCTCAAATGTGTTTCTAGTGATGTTGTACTACCATTTGGTTATTTTCTTTACCTTATGGTTCTGAACATCTAAGTCTTAACACCATGTTCCGGTTTCTTTGCTTATTTATTGTAATAAACACTATTTGAGCCGCGCCGCGACTAAACCAACGTTATGCGTTTGAGACCAGCATGGATCCAGACAAGCCTGCGCATTCGCGCAGTCTGATCAGGATCCATGCTGTTCGCTTACAGACCCTATTACAAGTAGAGAAACTGATAGCGAATAGCATTGATCCTGATCAGACTGCGCGGATGCGCAGTCTGGTCTGGATCCATGCTGGTCGCAAACGCACTATGTTGGTTTTTTCGTGACGCGGCTCATTTTTTTCAGTTTTATTATGAACTATTCGTGGCCATTAACGGAATTGTACAGAAAAAGATATGTCGACAGGTTCCTTATTAACGCAAATTGAATAAATTTGAAACATACAATCGACCATACCTTCATCTATTTGTAAATGTTTGGATTAGCTTAAAGTTCAGTTATGTGCAGTTGGCTATATTACAATAAATATTGTTCATAATAAGGTACAACCAAAGAGAATCGGCATAATTGGTTTTGTTTTGCGACTTAAAAACTTCTATACAAATTTATTACTTTGCTGTTTGCAACGACTGTTCGTTAATGTTTTGGTAAGATACATTCAGAATATGCATGCATCATATTTAATCATACTTATTATGAAACTTTGCCTAACGGGTTGAAATAAGAAGAAAACATTAAAGTTGATGTCAAAGGATCAATTTTTTGTTGCAGTTTATCATAATAGTGTTGTTTTTTCCCCTCAATAGTATCAACATAGAAAAGTCTCATTACATGATATCACGCGAACCTTTCATTCTCGAGAAGTTATAAAATATAATGTGTAATACATTTATACTTTAAACTTATAACTGGGTGTAATTGGCTATTTATAAATTGTAAATGTAAGAACATAAACACAATAATAAAGATCATTGCAATTTATTTGTACATTACTTTTGTTAACATTCAAACTTTTCATGAAAAAATGAAAATAATTGAACATTCATATACTACATGCAAAAGTCATAAAAAGAGTCGGTGTCCGAGTCGGCCTAGTTGATAATGTTCTAATAGTATCCATTTCCTGAAATAAAATACAAATATGTAAAGCTCTTTTTGAAAATTCTCTGATTCTTATCATGCAAATATTACTTCCTGTACTTGCATAACGTGCTTAAGGACCGAATATTTGTAGGTTTGTAATAAAAGAAAATCGAGCAAAATGTCTTATACTTATGAATCAATTAACAATCAAATATTTCTTTGGAAAATAAAATAGATAAAAGGATGAGCTAGAGGTTTATAAAATCCAGTTTCCAGAGTTTATGGCACGCAAAATTTTTTGGGGTGCTTTTTTAAAGTCTACAGTATTCTGATTCAAATGATGCACAGTATCTTGCTGAAATAACGTTAATTTAGTGCACGAATTGAGATACCAATATTGTTTTACGTTAAATAAAACAACGTATCCATCAATGCCGAGAACAGGCTTTGCATTTCAAAAAGTTAAATTTCTACTTAACATATTATACTGAAATGCTTCTGATCATTTTTCTTTCAGACTAATTACCCTTTACTTATTGTTAGGTTTCCAGAGACCATTAATCATTTACTTACTGTAAGGTTTCCATGGCGTCCATCTGGGCCAGTATGGTCTGTATCCCCAATGTCGATATCTATACATTCCCGGGTACCATCCGTTCATTCTGTTTTTTATATAAGTATAATTAACATGCATTAATGTTGAACGACAGTTTCTGATAATACCAAAATAATATTCTAAGAAAATTAAGACACCGACGAGCTTAAATAACTCAAAGCTCTCAGGACCATTTGAGCCGCGTCACGACAAAACCAACATAATGGGTTTGCGACCAGCATGGATCCAGACCAGCCTGCGCGTCCGCGCAGTCTGATCAGGATACATGTTGTTCGCTATCAGTTTCTCTACTTGTTATAGGGTTTGTAAGCGAACAGCATGGATCCTGATCAGACTGCGCGAATGCGCAGGCTGGTCTGGATCCCTGCTGGTCGCAAACCCATTATGTTGGTTTTGTCGTGACACGGCTCATTTGATTTATGAAGTGATATTTATTGATAAACAAACATCGCTGGCACATCCGATATTAATTAACATGATAAAAAAGATCGTTTGAAGTCATAAACATATACATGTCTTGTTTAACAACAACATCATTTACTTCTAAGAGATCGAAAAATAAATTGATTTTGTATCAAATTGTTGAGTTTTGAGGAATGACTTAAAAATGGAAAAATCAAATTAATGTCATTGTCTTCAATGATGATACTGGAGATTCCAGTAACTTATTATCAGATATATTCATTATTTACCCGCCATATCCTCCATAGTCTATCATTCCTCCGTATCCCCCATAGCCTCCGTATCCTCCATAACCTCTGTAACCTCCATATCCTCCATAACCGCCATATGGCCAATAGTCGTCGTCGTAACCACCAAACCTGTATCCTCCATAATACGGGGTAGCTATTGTAACGGCAAGTATTGCCAAAAATATTATTGTGGACTTCATACTAAAAAAGAAATAAAAAGAATATACAAACATATTGAAATGAAGTATTATTGATAAATCAATGAGATCTATTCATTTGTTTATGGTTTTTGATATGATTTTAAACAATTCAAATTACAATTATAACACAAACAAAAAAAAAAACGGGAAAATATCGTTACATCCATCAAGACTACAAGAAAAGTTTAATTATATTTCTAACTAATTCAGTATTAAATTGGCCCAAATGTTAAATTGTCAAAATATAATAACAGAATTATTGATATGCCTCCGCTCTAACCCAAGTTCGGCATGGTCAAGTATTAAGATTAGTTATACCGTTAGACAAGTATCTAAATTAATAGTTAATTTCCGATTTGGCAGGTGTCATATACTCGAAATCATCACAAAGCTTTGAAGATTTTAATAGGAAATATTTTATCCGTTTTGCATTAAATAACAGGTATCTATTAAAGTTCGTTATAGATTTTAGCATAAACTATGAAATAAAGATTATTTGAAATATTTAATTTTGTTTCCTTTCTTATAGAATAAAAAAGCATCGGAAATGTCTTTGAAGAAAATCCTATTGCTTGCTCTAAACGAAATGAATGTAAAACGTTAAAAAAATATAAATTCAAGCAACGATTCAAATATAATAATTCTTACCTGTTTGTCTTTGTGTTCGATGTATGTGTCAGCTAAAATTCAGACTAAAATTTATAGCATCGAAGGTGACATTGACCCGCAATAAATGACAAAAAAATATAAAAGATCATTGCTAAAATTTATAATGTTGAGAAAAAAACTCATTGTGGGATCTGGTTCAGTTTTTCAAAAACAAAAATGCTGACACTCCTCATCTATTGACTCAAACTCAATCTGTCTTTTTGAATTAAAATGTATACCTGTAATTTGTCAAACCTATAAATTATAACATCAATTTCAATTTTAACTATACATCAAAGCTTTGACCAGCTGTCTATATTCTGGGAATTACTGTTGTACTTCATGAACCTAATTTGTAACACAGGGCCAATTCATTTTATGCCATTTCCATGATTTAACGTCACTTTATCAAACTTGTAATTATTTAGATACTTAGAAATTGTTATAATAATTCTTATTTCTTTTATTCACTGTGATAGATGGAAGACAAAACAATACATGCAATTGTTTTAAAAAAGCCACATGACAAACAAAAGAAGATAATGTAAGATATATTTTCAAATACATGCTAGTCGGATCCATATTTCACTTGATTTCACTTACTATTAGTACTTGGTTATATGTAATATGTAATACCTTTTTCCATTAATACAAATAATCAGTGTAAAACAAAATGATACACCAATTATTTACGAAATATAATACATGTAGCCTTTGCTGTCAAAATTGACTATCTGTTGCAATACGATGATTCTTTGTGTCCTTAATGTATGTCTTATTAATTGTTAACATGAGGTGACACTTGGTGCGTCTCTTTGTCCTCTGTTTAATTTAGATTTTGTTTAATTTTGTAATTTTTCACCGACGGAAAGTATTTCCTTTCACATTGACCTCTAGTCACCCCCATCTTGTCCCTGTAGTTCCCATTTCTACATTTTTATTTAATCTAATAACTTTCAATTCCAATTATACTTTTTTTTAATTATTAGCTACAATTGTATTTTCATAACATTGCTTCGTTCATAAACGTTGCCTGCTGGGTGACTTTTCGAAATACATATGTGGCTGAATACTGTTTGGGTGCATTTGGTGACTGTCGCACCCCTTTGCTGATCTTTTTTTTTTCATTTTCAATGATACTTTAACAATCAAAAGTTTTTATATCTAGTCTCAAATCATCACAAAATCTCGCATACAATAATCATGTTTAGATCTATTTGCTCAGAAGCATTATCTTATTTTATAACATTAACATTATATAAGTTTTTTCTCTGAAATTGATTTATAGGAACAATGAATGCATGCTGATAATGAGATGTTTCTTAAAAAAATGAAAAATTGTTTCCTTTGTAACATTGCAACGTTTGCAGAAAAAATAAAAAGAAATACTTGGAAATAAGTTATGATTGCAACTTTAAATAAATGTAGATAAAACTTTATAAAACTAAAAATAATATGACCATTCTATATCTATATAAATAAGACAATGCAAGGACAATCTATACTTTATGATTACACGACCACTGTGTGAAATTTTGAATTCAAAAAATAAAAAGCATTTTTTTGTCATTTATTGACAATGCAGGTTTCGAATATTTTTGAACGGGTCGTGTTTCAATTAAGTTATAAATAGTTTGATTACCTTCAAATTTAGAGTCTTTCAGCAACAATACATTAAAAAATGACCTGGATATACGACAATGATAACGCCCATTGTGTCGTTACTGTATTTCATAAAGAAACAATATCATTACTTTGTTTTCTAAGTATTCACAGATATATAAAAATGGCCTTATGTAAAAGCAAAAAATATATACAATACAGTTCATTTGACAAAACACTTTATCCATACATCATTTTGTGGTGAGTTATTTATTGCTATTAAGTCGCCTGCTCGTAAAGTCATTGCACCATATAAACCTATCAATTTGTTTACACTTGGTAGCTTAATTAGGTAAAATAAAAAACGCCGAGTACAAAGCAAAAAAATGCGTTGGTTACATCCAGGAAAAAAATGTTGATCTTATACCAATTTGATGTCACGTCATAATTGTATTCAATTTTTACAATTAATAATATACTATGTATGATGCTATGCGGAACATTTTAATTGTTGTTCTACTGATGACATGACTTATCAAATTTGTCAAACTTTTTTGTATGTATTTGTGACATCTTAATCATTCGTTCTATATTTATAAATTGTCAAGTAAATTGTGAATGACGATATGTCAATAATCCTTAAACAAATAATTATCGTACTAGTAAACTACTAATTGAAGAATTTTTAAAATCTTGAAATCACATCACAGATGAAAATTGCGGTGCAAAACATTTCATTTTTATACATTTATTTGCTAAATATGTAAACTTCCTCGAATTTATTTCAGAATATCTAGGCCATGCATTTCCACCATGTATGAAATATAACAAACAAAATCAACGTGGAAGGGCGGCATTCAAAGGACAAATCCTCCCAACACAGGACCACCGGCAAGGAGTCAAGCATGCCACAAAACAGGACAGGGTGCATGGGCGAGACTATTTTAGTGTAAACTTTTACGATTTTAAGACTATGCATTGCCACCATTTACGAACCTATGACAGTGTCATTTTCATTTAGAATACAATAAACTAAGGGTTGTAGAAGCTTTAATTAGCATATTTGTTTTACTACAATGCTATTGGCAAGGCATTAAGTTATCAAAAGATATTTTATAAAACATAATCATGAAAATATCTAGAATCCCCCCATGTTTTTCATTAAAACATAACTGTCAAATGACGTCGCACTTGCAGCACAACCAATGACAAATTTCTTTATCATCTTCAGAAGCCCCCTAAGACTCAGAAAAAATAATTCGCTCTGCGAGCTCGGGCTTTGAATGCACACACGTTCTTCTGCAGATGTAAATGTAAGAAAAAATGTAGATTTATTATCTATTTTAATACCTACGACCCAAGTTGGTGTCATTGCAAAACATCAAAGGTATCTTCATTGCATAATATTCCATGTATTCTTTGATATAATTCATCACGTATTCTTTTATATCAAGAAAGTAAAATGTTATATTACGCTAAGAGCCTTCTTATACTGTATACCATTGTTCCTGTGTATACCTGTTTTATCGTCACGTATGTCTCTAACCCACACCAGACTTAGAGCAAATTCTTGCAAACTGCTCGATACAAAACCAGACGATATCTACTCTAGAGACTAGTCAGGAACCAAACAGACAGCGAAGACATAGACAACTTTTTCTAACGTTAACCGCAAATCTGCAGTAACTCATATGAAATAAAAAAGGACTTACAACAGTATTGCGGTCAACCCTCGAAATGTCTTTTACCAATAACTTGAGGCCCTTTAAGAGTATCACCGTTTATTATAAAATTTAAACATAGATACATGCAAAGATAAATACATGTACATCTTAACCGAGCAAACAAAAACACATTCTACATTCAAACAAAATAAAAGGACTGTTATATTAATGTTAAATTTCTATAAACATTTTATAGATAATTTTATAGCACTGTAATCTAATGAATGAAAACTGTTACTGTTCGTATTGAATTTAATATATTTAATGCATAATAGTATGTCCACGCTCACAAACTAATCATGGAATGAAAACATATTTCAAACCCTCCAAATGTTTCTTGTTAATTATTGTTTGTGTCTCTCTTTCTATTTGGTATTGGTAATTAATATAATCTCTATCGAAGGTCTTTTAAATTCATTTTACAATAATATATGTAAAATGTATTTTATTTTATCTACAAATAAAAAGCTAAAGATTTGTTTCATTATCTGCATTTTGTATGCTTTAAAGAAGCCAAATGCAGATAATGAATTATCTGCCAAATGCAAATTGTCAAATGCAAATGAGTATTTTCAAAAAGATCACGAATGAGTCGTGTCAAATAGAAGTGAAATTTCTTTTGTTTTATTCTTTATCTTCCAAGTTTGCATTAAGTGTTTGTTCCCATTTCCGTTAACAAACAGGTATACGAGTACTGTTACTTGATTTTAATATATTATGCATTGGTTGTGAACCTTTTTCAATTTTTTAAAATGAGAGATAGCATTGGTGGAATAAAGGTTTTGAGACATGTTTCAAACCACAGGGCAACCGGCAATTTTTAGACATTTAACTACTGTGTGACATGTGCCCCGAAAATGCAAACAAAAATCGCACTCATATTATAGATTTTATTGCATTCATGGATCTCATACAAACCCCATATATCTTAAACATGTCACATATACACTAGCATAAAACTATGACTTTAAAAATATACTTTTTTACCAACCAATATATTATATTCGCCTAACCCAAGTAGTTTTTAATGCCGTAAAAACGCATTTAAATCTATCATGTCAAATCCTCCATCTTTTTAATTTTTTATTAAAACAACTTTTTTTAATCTTGCATGGACCTTGCCATATACCATCAAAGTATATTCTGTTGAATATAAGATTTTGGTGAATAAGGCAGAGACAAACAAAATAAATAGTAAAAGTACAGAGTTTTTATAACAACTATTCTTCCAATCGCTGTAATTATTCTTCTCTTCCACATTTTTAAATATAGATCCTGCTTACGCAATTTTAGTTTTGTAGTTCTATTTTAGCATTTTTAATAAATCTTCATTGAACTTGAAGCCAAGCATGACAAATTTTGCTGATTCCAAGATAATTTCCATTTTCATTTTATATTATTCGCACTTAGTTTTTCTTTTCCAATCCACACATCTTTTGTTTTGTCAAAATTAACTTTCAAACCTGAGATAAAATTAAATGTGGACAATATGTCTAGAGTTTCATTTTAAAGAGGAGGTCGAACCGTCTAGAATAATTGTAGTATCATCTGCAAATAATATATTCATTTTAATTCCTTTGATATTGTTACTTGATCTAATTTTCTGCAAAAGTATTTTAGTACATAAAATAAAAATGATCAACCTGCCGGCATCCACGCTGAATGTTAGAGAACTTTGAAAATCCATTTTGCCATATTGATATATCATATCTTTATAGAAAATGCTAAACCATCTTTTGATGTCTTCTCCAAAATTAAAAAGTGACAACGTTTTATTTACAAAGACCAAGACAAAGAATCAAAAGCCTTTCCGAAATCGCTTAGGAGTAAAAGACCGAAAATGTTATTCTCCTCTGTATATTGCATTATATCATAAATTAGTCAGTTTTTCGAAAAACGTTTAGGTTTATCACCTTTAGGGATACGTGTATTTAGACCCTGTGCTTGTGTTACAAATAAGTTTCCAGATATAAAAGCATGGTTTAGAGCCCTACAAAAAAAATACGCCAATTCTTTTCCAAAAACATTTATAAAATTCTGCTGAAAATCCAGAAGAGCCTGGATTATTATTTTGAAATTAATATATTTAATGCATAATACTATGTCCACACTCACAAACTAATCATGGAATGAAAATATAATTCAAACCCTCCAAATGTTTGTCAAAAATGTCTACCTTGTTAATTATTGTTGTGTCTCTCTTTCTATTTGGTATTGGTACATATGTACTTAATATAAATATAATCTTTAGCAGCTCTATCGAAGGTCTTTTAAATTCATTTTGCAATAATATATGTACTTCTCTACAAATAAAAAGCTAAAGATTTGTTTCATTATCTGCATTTAGTATGCTTTAAAGAAATTGTATTATTGTGAAATGCAAATAGTCAAATGCAAATGAGTATTTTCAAAAAGATCATGAATGAGTCGTGTCAAATAGAAGTGAAATTTCTTTTGTTTCTTTCTTTATCTTCCGATTTTGCATTAAGTGTTTGTTCCCATGTAAGTTTGCAAAAAGGTATACGAGTACTGTTACTTGATTTTAATATATTATGCATTGGTTGTGAACCTTTTTCAAAATGAGAGATAGCATTGGTGGAATAAAGGTTTTGAGACATGTTTCAAACCACTTACAGGACAACCGGCAATTTTAAGACATTTAACTACTGTGTGACATGTGTCCTGAAAATGCAAACAAAAATCGCACTCATATCATAGATTTTATTGAATTCATGGATCTCATACAAACCCCATATATCTTAAACATGTCACATATACACTAGCATAAAACTACGACTTTAAAAATATACTTTTTTACCAACCAATATATTATATTCGCCAAACCCAAGTAGTTTTTAATGCCGTAAAAAAGCATTTAAATCTATCATGTCAAATCCTCCATCTTTTCAATTTTTCATTAAAACATCTTTTTTAACCTTGCATGGACCTTGCCATATACCATCAAAGTATATTCTGTTGAATATAAGATTTTGGTGAATAAGGCAGAGACAAACAAAATAAATAGTAAAAGTACAGAGTTTTTATAACAACTATTCTTCCAATCGCTGTAATTATTCTTCTCTTCCACATTTTTAAATATAGATCCTGCTTATGCAATTTTAGTTTTGTAGTTCTATTTTAGCATTTTTAATAAATCTTCATTGAACTTGAAGCCAAGCATGACAAATTTTGCTGATTCCAAGATAATTTCCATTTTCATTTTATATTATTCGCACTTAGTTTTTCTTTTCCAATCCACACATCTTTTGTTTTGTCAAAATTAACTTTCAAACCTGAGATAAAATTAAATGTGGACAATATGTCTAGAGTTTCATTTAAAGAGGAGGTCGAACCGTCTAGAATAATTGTAGTATCATCTGCAAATGATATATTCATTTTAATTCCTTTGATATTGTTACTTGATCTAATTTTCTGCAAAGGTATTTTAGTACATAAAATAAAAATGTTCAACCTGCCGGCATCCACGCTGAATGTTAGAGAACTTTGAAAATCCATTTTGCCATATTGCTGAAATCATATCTTTATAGAAAATGCTAAACCATCTTTTGATGTCTTCTCCAAAATTAAGAAGTGACAACGTTTTATTTACAAAGCCCAAGACAAAGAATCAAAAGCCTTTCCGAAATCGCTTAGGAGTAAAAGACCGAAAATGTTATTCTCCTCTGTATATTGCATTATATCATAAATTAGTCAGTTTTTCGAAAAACGTTTAGGTTTATCACCTTTAGGGATACGTGTATTTAGACCCTGTGCTTGTGTTACAAATAAGTTTCCAGATATAAAAGCATGGTTTAGAGCCCTGCAAAAAAATACGCCAATTCTTTTCCAAAAACATTTATAAAATTCTGCTGAAAATCCAGAAGAGCCTGGATTATTATTTTTTAACAGAACAGAACAGAACAGAACAGATATTTTATTAAGACTTGTACAAAGTACATCATCTACAATACATTATATTCACATATGTAATCGCTGCATGAAAATTAACAAACAAAATATGGATATCACAAATTACGTATACAATAGTTTCATAACAACAAACAAACAAACATGCAATCAATCAATCAATCAATCAAACAAACAAACAAACATGTAGCTATGGAAAAATGTGTATTTACTATCTACTTTTATAATTAAATAAGACGCTTTTATGGATATTTTTGGAATCAAAACAAAACATTTGGAGAATGAACATTAATTGTAATCAGACAGTAGCATTTATTTGGATAAACGTATAAGCTCATTTTTATTTTGTGAGTTTAACAGTTGAGTAAATTTGTAAACTGATGGATTTCTGTAATAGTAGGCTTTTAAGTATTGTTTTCTTATAACATCATAGCATTTACATATACAGATTAAATGGTACTCATCCTCAATATCTAAATCATTGCAAAACAAACAATATCTTTCTTCACGAGGGATTCTATTTCTACTAAATCTACCTGTTTGAATTCTTAAAGGAAGGCCATTCATTCTTAATCTACAAAAATAAAATCTAAAACACCTAGGTAGTATATTTAAATAACATTCATATTCAAAACAAGATTTAACATTTCTATATATACATAAAACAGGACTTTTTTCAAGATTACTGAACCATTCTTGCTTGAAGGAATCAATAAGACGACATTTAAATTCAGATAAAAAACATAACCTTGTCTATATTGTCACAATTATCAAAAATATATGAAAACCCATAATTATTTAAGATATTTTTAACATTAGAAACCCAATTTGTCTTCCCTTTTTTGCTATCTTCAAGTGCCTTGGTGTAAACTGTTTTTAATATTATATTGTCTGTATTTACAAGTTTTAACCAGAACTTAATAATTCTCACATATCTATGAATATATAATGGATATCTGCCAAGTTCACCATATACACTAGTATTACAAGTATTTAATCTAACTTTTAACAATCTTTTACAAAATTTTAAATGTATTCTTTCCATTTCCTTAGATTTAGAATAACCCCAAATTTCACATGAATAATTTAGTATTGGTGAAACGAAGGCATCAAACAATTGACACAATGTTTTTGGACTAAAATCATACTCTTTGCATTTACATAACAGCATATTCATTGATTTTAAAGCTTTTCCAATTAAATGTTCTTGATTTAGAATAAATTTACCAGTATAATTAAAAACAGTTCCTAGATAATTAAAATCATTAACAGCTTCGATTTCTTGGCCATCATAGGTCCAATGCTCAGAGGCTAAAAGTGCACCCCTTTTTCGAAATACCATTATTTTTGTTTTTGAAGTATTAACTTTAAGGCCCCAAGTGTTACAATAAGACAATAAGAGATTCAAAAGAGTTTGTATTTCATCTGGACTTTTACCTATGATAGCCATATCATCAGCAAATAATAAAAGAATTAAAACTATATCATCTAGAGTAAGACCTGCTTCAATTTCAGACTGAAGATATAATTCAAGGTCTTCAACAAAAAGTGAAAATAAAAGAGGGGACATAACTTCCCCTTGACGAAGACCTACAGCATATAAAAAATAGTCCGAATAGCTAGAACATGACTTAACACAAGATTTTACTTTTTGATACATATCACGTATTATACTAAGTAACTTCCCTTGAATTCCGCAATTATACAATTTAAACCAAAGGCCATTTCTATAAACAGAGTCAAAGCATTTCATCATATCAACAAATATAACATATAATCTTTTATTATCATTTAAATATTTCTGAACCAATGAATTAAGAATAAAAATAGCGTCTACAGTAGATCTTCCCTTACGAAATCCGAACTGTGCATCCGAAATAGTGTTATGTTCATTACAAAATTTTTCGATTCGTCTATTTATAACTGTAGTAAATAATTTTGACAAGCAACTTACAAGTGTAATGCCTCTGTAATTATTAACGTCATTTTGATTCCCTTTTTTATGCAGAGGGATAATTATACCTTCGGTCCATTTATCAGGAAAACAGCCCGACTTTAAAATACAAGTAAATAAGTCACAAATATGAGACGATAAAATATCAATACTTTCTATAAAATATTCGTTCAATAAACAATCATTACCATAAGCTTTATTACGCTTCAGTGATTTAACAGCCGATAAAATTTCAGAACAAGTAATAGGCTCGTCTAACTCAGGAAAAATTTCATTAGTAATTGTAAAATCATTATTTTCACAAAATTCCTCAGCTTCAGCATTGTAACACTGAAAAAAGTCATTACTTAAGTTAGAAAAATATTCTCTAAATTGTTCTAAATTTATTTTATTATCAACTTTTCCCGTTTGTTTTTTAAAATATTTCCAAAAATCTTTCGGCTTACTCTTTTTCAAATTTTCTATTTCTTGCATTTTCTTTCTATAGAACACATTTTTCTTCTTTGTAATAACAGATTTATAAGCAGATTTATGATTACACAAAATTACTCTATTTTCATCCGTTTTACAACAGTTAAATGATTTTAATGATTCTAAATATACGTTTCGTGCATCAATGCAATCTTTATCAAACCATTCTGAGTGCTTCATGTATTTTTCTGCATCATAGTAATGAACACTTCTAAATTTCAAATTATATGAAAAAAGAGGATCTGCAACACTCCGCATTGTATCTGTAAATTTATTCAATGCGTCATTAACAGACTGTCTACTATTACAACCTAATGTATTAACAATAGTATTAAAAACGGGTAAATTTACAATTATGCCCGAACGAAATTGTTGCCTGCGATCATTGTCCCACTTAAATTTGATCTCAGAATAATCTGCATTATTATCGTGCGTATTATTACATTCAAGTGACAAGGTCAAAGGGGAATGATCACTCCATTCATTAAATGGATGTATAGTAAAGTCACTGATCAATGAAAAATTGCGTTCATTGCATAACACATAGTCTATCACAGATAAACCGTTATGAGATAAAAAAAAGTATAAGTGTTAGTATTCCCGATACGGCCATTGATAATACGTATACATGATGATTTACAAAAATCTAACAGTTTAATGCCATAATTGTTATGTTTACTATCTATTGTGGCCCTGCATGGGGTACTATCGGGTTCATAATCTATGTCATCAATGTTTTTATTTACTTTATCATGTACAATGAAATCATTTTTGTTGCCTACCCTACTGTTAAAGTCACCTAGAAGATAAACACAACCAATATTTTCATAATTAGATACATCATTTTCTAACGTTTCAAATAAGTCTATATTAAAAGTATTATATACAGGTGAATTTTCACCCCAAATATACACACCACACAAATATATATCTTCATCAACATTAAAAAAATTGCGATCTAATTTCAACCATATAATTGTATCAAAATGGTTCTGAACAATTTGAATTCCTTCTTTTAAATATTCTTTATAATAAAGTACTATTCCGCCACTGCATCTGCGAGCATTCTTATTTTGAAATTTTCGAAAAAAGTTATGAGTGACGTAACCATTAATAGAAACATTACTTTGAGCATTTGTCCATGATTCATATAAAAAACAAATATCATGATTACTTATAATATTGACAAAATCTTTATTTACTTTTTTATCATTTGTAAGTCCGTGGACATTCCATGAAAGTATGGAAAGTTCATCTCCGTCGCATCCCTAATCTTTGATCGGTCGTCCGTCTATAAATAGCGTATCGTACGCGATCCATGCCCTTTTCCCTTCGTCTCGAGCTGCCTTTAACTTGGGAATCAGTCTTCTTCTTTTAGAAATCACTTCCTGTGGGAATTGTTCATACATTTGAAAATCTGTTCCTTGCAAATTTCTCCATTGCCTGCGTACCTGCTCCCGGTCTTTAAAATATGTAAACTTGGCCACAACTGTCCGTTTTTTTCCTGGTAATACATGACCGGGTGATCGGTGAACACGTTCAAAACGGAGTTCGTTGACTACCTCCTTCGAAATCTTTAAGGCCTCATGAAGATGATTTCTCAACTTTTGCTCTGTAACTTCCTGAGATTCATTACCACTTGAATTATCTTCCGGTATGTTTGTAAATATTAGATTATTGCGCATAGATTGCGACTTAAGATAAGTTACTTCGTCACGGGCAGCGTCACGTGATTTCTCTAATTCGTCCACTTTGTTAGCAAGCAAAGCTGCACTTATGTCTGTATTTTCCATTTTATCTTCTAAATGTAACACACGTTCTTCAACTTTCTTCGCTCTTTCATCTATAGCTAACCAAATACTTTTTAGCTCTTTTTCAAATCCTGATACTTGTTTTTCGAGATGATCTAATGTACAAAGTTTTTTCTCCACTGAATCAAGTCTTTTGCAAATACCGTTTAAACACACACCATGATATCACTGTTAGTAGGTTGCTTATCTGTTTTTTCCGCCATCGTGTCGATTACTTCCGGGCAATTTGTTTTCAATTCAAAAACAGATATATCAAAAGTAGAAGTGTCACTAGGAATGTCATCATTAGTAGCATTTTCATCATATAGTACAGCATTTGTCTGATTTAGAACATCACTAACTGAAACATTTAATTCTCCGAAAGGGCCTCTCTGTTTGAATATTTTTCTATTGTTTACATTACTACTATCATTACCACTGCTGTTTCTGTCTTTTCTCTTCTTATTTTTCTTATCACCCATACTACGATTTTAACTCACGTGTTTGTTATCCAATTAATCCATTTATATCCAAAATATTCTACTTATAAAACTTTTATTCACGATAAATCTTAAAAATATTTTCCCTCAGAAATTTCAAACCACCATTTTTCACGCATTTTTAAACAATAGATGCTTCTTATAGTCTAATTTTACCCTCAATCGATTTTAAATCTTGGTAATATTGGAATGTTTATATGTTAAACAAAGCTTATAAACTTAGTATGTTCTTACTCATGTGAGGTACCAATAATGACATTAGAATGTGTACAAGGATATTGCATACTATAACAAAGGAATTCATTTTGGGCGATTTTAAAACAAATATAAAAATTGACTTGTTGTCATGATGACTATCTTTTGTAACCTAAAAATAGCTATCATTTTGAGATTGCGTAACAAATTTAAAATGTTTCATGTCAAAAAACTAATAATTTTTCTTCAACCGTGCAAAAATATGCATTGTTGGTAGAAAAAAAACATCGTTTTTCACTTTGTCCACGATCTAGTTCAGTAAACATACATTGACTAATGACAATAGCATATTTATTAAAATTTCCTGTTGACATGCCAATAATGTAGTTAAAGATGATATAAAAAGGATGCCATAGCCATTTGAAAATTAGTTGTTCCACCGACGTCGATCATCAAACAGAAGGTTTTTATTTCTTTTATATTTTTTCATTTACTTTTCATTATTCTGTTCATTTTTTTTTTCATTTATGGTTCTAGTAACAGTTAGTCATTTTGCTTGCGTTTGTAACAGTAAGTCAGTTAATTCTTTGTATCTATTATGAGTTTTTACTGATAAACATACACCGACAAATAAGTTTAGATCAGTAAACGTTACTTTAGATATACATCTATTACCAGTATACGTTTCAAAGCTGTTTTGGGCTGTTTTTTTCCTTTCATATTTCAATACGCATGTGCAGATAGCTCATTTTCTACATAATAGATAATATTATAAAATATCATTCGTAAACATTTTATTTTTGTTTAGTATGCTTGGTATTGAACTAAGAAAGTCAGTCAAAATTATTTTGTTGTCATGAAAGCATTTATAATTTGAAAATATCATAACTTATGCTATAAAACTTAGATAGTAAGTTAAGTTAATGGTGTAACTTGATTGTTCTATATATTGTCATCAATGTATTTTGTTTATATATCGGAATTATGTTTACAGTAATAAGAATATACATTCTGTATATCTAAAAAATGCAATTATACGTCGCTTATCTAATGTTTTGATAAAGTTTGAAAATATATTGTTTGTTGTTGATGTTGTTTTTTTCTTTTGCATGTATTAAGAAAGAAATAATCTAAACGTTTCTTTTATTGATTTTATTGATACGCCATAACAACTGAAGTTAATTTATGTTAAAAAAAACTTAAAAGCATGCATTCAAATGCTCTGTACAAAATTTACATTGTTTTCTTCTGTTTTACCATGACTGTAATTCATTCAAAACAAAACCCATCATGATTTCATATTGTAATTAGCTGTCTTTTATTTTATCACTAATATTTATCACGACCAGTATTTATTAGAATTAATATGAGTTATTGTCAATTTCAAAACACCATATGAATCTAAATTAAGTTTTGGAGACCAAATTAGAAAGTTGTGCGTTGTTACATTTATAAAAATCTTTCTTTGAAATTACAATTAGATTTCAATTTAATTCATAAGAACGCTTTAAAACTAAAAAAACTTACTTCATGCACATGTATTAGTTGGTAAGCCGTTGTTTTTTCTGTATATTCAGGGTGACAAGATGAAGTCTTTATTACTCCTGGCTCTAACTTTGTCTGTTGCATCGGCAACATACAGTATGTATGGAAGTATGTTGATGGGCACTGGTTTATTATCAATAATCTATTTTACTTTATTAATCTAAATTAGTACACCTTTATCTAAATGTTAATTTATTCGTTTTTCTTTTGCAACTACTTCTGATAAATATATTTGTTTTTCTTATATAATTATCTTTCTGCCTTTGATGGAACCTGCTCTTTACATTGATCTTGATCAATGAGTATATCTGGAAAAATATGCTTATTTGTCAATGATATTGACTAGTCTGTAGTAGCTGACAACAAATTATGTCTTTCTAATTATCTTTTGGCTTGCATGTTTTAATGTATCTTTCTATTTTTTTTAAATTTTTATTCCCTAATTGTTTTAAAATTTTTAAAAAAAATTTTGGTTTGGGAAAGGGTGGGTATGGTGGGAAAGATGGGGGGATACGGGGGATATCCATTTTATGGGTTTGGGAAAGGGGAAAATATGGGGGTGGGCGGGGAAAGGTATGGGCGGAGATTATGGATTTTCCATATATGGGAGGGAAAGGGGAGGATTTTGGGATGATGGGGGAGGGTATGGGGGTTTAAGGGAGGGGTATGGTGGATATCCATATATGGGTGGAATGGGAGGAGGATATGATGATATGATAGGAGGTTATAGTGGAATGGGAGGATATGGTAACATGGGTGGATACGGCGGAGGATATGGAATGATAGGTGGAAAAGCATATGGTGAGTTTTTTTTATAAACTGAGCGACAAAAATAAAATCTGTAAAACAAGTTATGTTGAATAAAATGAAATTAACATTCGTTCAGCGAAACAATGTTCAACTCAGTTTATGAATTAATTAAATATTTAGGCTATTGTAGACATAAATCATTATGATATCAAATGAACATTATTGATTATTTGAAGGTATTGTGTTATTCCGATATAGAACGTCTAAATAAGACAATTAAAACAAAGTGTTTTTTTTCCTCTCTTTCAACTAACTTATATACATGTATATAATGAAACAAAGAAGTTGTCTATAGCTATAATGACGTTTTTGTTTCATATTCATGTAAAAGGTGTATTTTCTTGTAAAATGTTTAAACGTTTTAAATTGAAAATGACATATGCTATCATCAGGTACTTTAATTTCTGTAAATATTTCGGATGATCGCAGAAGAATACTGTTAGAAAAATATGCTTAAAACATACATATATTTTGAAAATATACTTGTATTTTTCTCTATATCATTTGACAGGGAAAAAAGGATATTACTAACTGATATCAGAAAATGAACTCTAACCGGAGAGGACTCGTACATGAACATGGACTGTAAGAGAAGCAACATACATCGGACTGACGTACATAAGATTTAATGTTTCGGCATTTCAGATCATACCAAGTGTACCTGAACGAGATGTTTGTTGTTTGGCTTTTTATTTGTATAGTACTTATATTGAATAAATAAAGCATCCAAACAAATTCACACTTGTTGTTAATATTATATTACTCATGTAGCCCTCAGCATCGACGTGTCACTATAAACAGAAATTACAGTATCACATGTACATAATGTAAGGAATCAATTAATAAAGAAGCCGTTAAATTGTTAAACAGAAACAAAATATAAAAAATATAATAATAATGCTTCAATATACGCACTGATATATGCGCCTAACACACAATTACAAATTATGAGAACAAATATAAACAACGGAGGGCATCTTTCACAATATCAGGCCTCACAGAACCACTCCAATCGCACCCTCCTGGGATTTGGGATATCATTACGGAGACATGGGTCATTCTTCACTCATTTTTCACTCAAAAAGTGCCATTGACAGGAGGGGCGATATTAAGGGGCTGGGACGAAAGGAGAAGGAAAGAGAGTAATCCCAACGGAGACGGCAATGCAACATTTATACAAACGTCACGTTTAAGATCGTCAAAGCATTCAATTACATCGGTAATTGTAACATCTCTTGTGCCCATTTGCACCAGCTTAATATAGAAAGAAAGAATTTTGTCAGTTTAAAGGTGACAACATAGTCAATTATCGCTAACAATACCCTAAATGAAATATATGGCTGGTTCCTCAGAAATTTCGAAAACATTGCGATAGTTTGCAGATGTTTATTTCTTTATGCATTACTTATGAATTGGACAGATACGAAAACATATTATTCATTGATCATTTTGAATACAGTGTCGCCCGTAAATAGAACACAGTACTAATAAACCTTGGACAAAGTATGAATTTACTGTATGTCCGAGAAGAAATCGAATCTCTATAATGTGCATATTCGCAGATGAATATGAATGTAATTATGATAATAGCAGTGAAGAAGGTCGGCCGATTTAATTGGGTAATACCTTTTGATTTTATTTAAGTATGTTAAAGAATTTATAAACATTATATAGCATCTTGTTCTCATTTGTACATCGGACATGTGCTTAAAATCAAACAAACGCTATCTAGATTTATTACTTCTGAAGAAACATAATACATGCCCATTGCCACCATAAAAACAAAATAGCAACTGCTAATAAAGAAAGCTTACGGATAGTCACGCGACAGGCACCAGGAGAGTAAATCACGTAAATATTTGAAGTAATTTCTGCTATTAAATGATATAAATCAACAGTTTTTTTAATTGGTCACATGTTATTTGGCCATTAAAAGGTGACAAGTATTATTAGACATTTGAAAATGTTTAATTACTTTAAGCTAAGCATCTTCGTACAAAAACATTTTTTGAGCCAACCGTTAAAGCACAATTTGTCTGGTGATTCTGTTTCCATTGCAATATAAGACCCAAGGCTGATGGCCTCGATGGTCTCGCGTTGAAAGGTCATTTTTACGGCCGGGATTTGTTCATCCTGTAAACGCGCTACTCTTTTCTAAACCACCATTTGTCCTTCTATTAGGTTTAGAGATTTTTTCTATACATCAACATAAGGCACAAAGCTCTAACCCCAGGGAAATGACCCCGAGAGGCCCGCATGTTATGGTCGATTGTTCTTTCTGTATAATAAGTGTATGAATTTATCTTTCCGCACAAGTTCTTCAGCCCACAAGTACAACACCATTTTCTTGTTAACGTTGCGGATTAGAAATTTCATAAGTTTTGAGAATTTTCTTTACAGAAATATAAGCCAAAGAAAAATAGCCACATAAGATCCGTATGTATGGTCGTTTTTTGATCGGCTATTTTCTTTTCAATCCTTAGATTCACTGAAACTTTCGCAAACATTTTTATAGAGACTTAACCCTTTTAAAACTGTGGTCTACATTATTTCGAATGGGAACGAAACCAGTTGTCTTACATCTTCGCGAAAACGTGTTTAAGTGGTGTGTGACATAAGCACATTTTTACAAGAGTTTTTTGTCATGCACAGTGAGTCACAGTATGTCATATTGGAAAGAAATGAAAGCTTCTTACATAAACAGAAATATAAAGCAAGCTATTACGCAAGGGAAATTACCACGAGAGGTCCGTATGGTCTGGTCGCTTTTTGAGTGATTTGATCTATCTGTATATAAAGTGTATGCATTTCTTGAAGCCAACAGTTAAAACACGATTTGTTTAATTCCGTCGCAGATTTGTCATTGAATTAGTTTAGATGACCTTCTTTTCAATATAAGGCAAAAAGGTTGAACACAAAGATAATGTCCTAGAAAGACCATTAATGCATGGTCTTTTTGTTGTTGTTGTTGTTGTTGTTGTTGTTTTATTAGAAATTTGAACTCTCTTTATATAAATTGTAAGAATTTTGTATAAAAACTCACCATTTTCTGGTGCCATTCAAAGCTCATTTTGGGTGCCAACTTTTAAAGCACGATTTGTCTCATTCCTTTGCGGATAAGAACCTTGCATATGTTTTGAGCTTCTTTTTTTTTACAACAATATCAAACACAAAGCTATAACCAAATTTAATTGTCCCGAGAGGCATGCGTGGTATGGTCGCTTTTTGAATAGGCGATTTGTTCTTTCTGTATATAAAGTGTTTAAAAGTTTCATGACAAAAATCACCATTTTTGAAAGCAACTGTGAAAACACAATGCGTCTGATTCTGTAGCAACTTATATACCTTGATGATCTTCTTTACAAGAATATAATTCATAAAGACAAAACCCAATGAAAACGGCATCGAGAGAACCGCGTGGCATGGTCGTTTTTTTAATCGACGATATTTTCATTCTGTATATAAAGTGTATGGATTTTCGTAAAAAATCACCATTTTTTGGCTTATCTGCAAACAAAATCCCTATAGAACGCCGAAAATGACAAAACTGAAAATGTTGCAGGTTTGGTTTGATTGAGTCTGTTCATGGACGGTAGTGGTATATGCAAGCTGCCGTCCATGCTCCCTAGCACCGGTTTTAGCAGAATTCAACATTTAAACAATGCAAAATAGTATAATTTTGAATTTGAATTTAGAAACATCCGCAGATGTGTTTATACGGCGGTTATCATAGAACCTTTAATGTTACACGTGCGTGTCATTCCATGAAAAGCGGCGTATGATCCCTAATTAAAAGAACGCATATGCCCTATACGAACAAAAAAAATCAACAATACAATGTGTGAATCGAAATAAAATGGAACTTAGAAAAGGGATCATAGGAAATGAAGCCTGTATTCCACAGACAAGCCGTCAAAAGACATATAAAAAAACACACAATATATTCTAAGGGATTTATTCGGTATTCAAGTAGACATACAGGAAACACCAAACTTTAAAAAGGTCAACTAGAAGTAACTAAAATACCACAAATACAAGAATAATGTCGTGCTGATCGATCTTCAAGTATCAGAAATATAACATCTCTGATTAAATAAACAGAATGGCTTTTAATGGCCTTCAGTCGGCATAATTAACCATATTATTACAATAATTAAGAAAAATACAGAAAAACTGAATAACTAAAAGATGTAAGAAAAATGGCAACATTTAAATAGTTGCATACTCGGTTTGATTGAGACTGTTCATACGCTTGTTTGTCTTCATACTAAAATGTATCTTAGGTCATTTAAGTTCGAACAAAAATGTTCCTGACATTAAAAAACCACAAACAATATTGAATTACTTATAATTACATCTTTTTGTTTTTAAATCGAAAAAAAAAAAATTGTTTTTTTTTTGAAAGCAGGTTTTTGTGATAAATTGATAGTAATTGAATATTTGTGTTCATTGTCGATATATTGTAATATTATCTACACTTAGTATTGCAACTCCACCCCACCCCCCAACTAAAAAAAAGGGGGGGGGGATCTTTCAATATGTCTCCGATTATTTTTAAAATTACGGTAAATTATTCATACATTACTTATACATTACTTCCATACCCACCAATCAAGTTGTGATAGTGGCAAAACAACACAATTTAAGCCGCGTGAAATGAAACAGGCAAGGTGATTATGGCTACCTCGGGTGCTGGAGCATACATGTAGAGATACATAGACTCTTGTAATTCGAACCTATTTAGACGTTACTTTTGATCACGCAGGGATATACGATGGCTGTAAATCTGATGCCTCAACACTTAAAGGCAACCTCTCAGTCACAAGGGGATGTTTTCTTTTGTAAAATATGACTAACGGATTATTATTCAACAAGAGAAATGTGATTACAGGCTTTCTGATAACAAGGAAGGATTCAATAAACGCACATCCAACACAACCCTGCAACATAGGACCACCGGCAAGCAGCCCAGCAGGACACCAAACAGGACAGCGCAAATACCCTCTTTGGAATCAATTAGTCAATACATTTTGTATGTTTTTATTGCTGTTCACCAGCATTTATTCGGGCAAGTTCTATAACATAGCCGTTTACCCTTTCCACACAAATGCAGTATAGTCGGTATCAATCCGGTCTGTTGCAGACAACCCTATACTTTCAATATAAACTATAACAAGCAGATGACATTTAAGCGGACGACTTTTTCTTTTTCTCAGTATGCAAAAGGTTATAGGTATTTACTCATAATGACGCTGGGGTTTGTACAAATATCATAAAAAATATTACCACAACCAAGGAATTCAATTTGGGTGATATTTCAGCACATATATTGACGTGTTGACATGATGACAACTGACTAGTAATTTTATTTTTTTATGACATAAGCATGACTATGAATTTTGAGAAAACATAACAAATTTTGAATGTTTTATATCAAATAACACATAACTTTTTCCTTAATGGAGCAAAAAAAGCATTGTTTATAGAAAAACATCGTTTTCCACTTTGACCACGATCTATTTCAGTAAATTTATAAAGAATGATTAATGACGATAGTATAATTATTAAAATTTGCTGTTGACATGCTAATAAAATGTTCGAAGACAATATAAAAAGGGTGCAATAGCCATTGTGGAAAATCAGTGCTACCTCCGACGTTGATCATCAAACAAAAGGTTTTTCTATTTTACATTCGATTTTTCATTTCTCATTTTCTTTCCATTTGTTTTTCTTATAGCAGTTAATGCATTATGCTTGCAATTGTAAAAGTTATTCAGTTGATACTTAGGTTCAATTATCAGTTATAAATGACATGAATAAATAGGATCAGAAAAAGTTCCTTTTGTTTGAATCGTATATTTTAATTAAAAAAACAATTTAAAACGTTTAAAAGACACGAATTAATTAATTTTGTCTTTCATTTTCCAATATGCATGCTCACGTCTAGCAAAAGCATAATCATCATTTTAACGGAAACTCAAATGTGTACAATTAATTATTGTAGACATTTCATTTTTGTTTATTATGCTTTGATTATTTATCATAATATTGATCGTAGAAAGTGAGTCAAAATTATTAAATTATATCTCTAAATTGTATTCATGAAAGTATTAGCAATTATTAGATTTCTTAAATTATGCCATGGAACATTTTTAAAATCACTTTTGATATTAATTCACAAATATATCGTCATAAATGTATGATCCTTTCTCACGAATTGGAAATATTATATTAACAGTAAAAAAACTAATTAGAATATATACTATGTATATCAAAATACACAAAAATTAAAATGCAATTTATGTAACTGTTTAAATGCTGATAATTTGTTTTAAAGTTTAAAAAAAGCTTTTTTGAGTATATTAAAGAAAGGTTTTAATGATTTTTTTATTTGGTTTAACTTGTTGATAACTTTTAACATTGGAATTTTATATATTATAACGCGCGAATGACTTTTGTTTCTAAAGTATAGATAGCGGACGGTAGATTACAGGTATTATATCGGGTTTTTTTTTTGCTTATGTATTTTAACGACGGCAAATTTCATTTTCCACCTTAATTCTCTTGTTTGAAACGGTTTATCTAATAATAACATATTTAACCTTAAGGTAAGCTGAAGGCCTCCAAATTTGTTATAACCCGAAAATGTGTGGCGTCTGTAATAATTTGGCCTCTGTCCTAAGAATAAAGTGTTGTAAAAATGAGATATTTTCATTTTGCAGTGAGCTGTCCTATATTTTACCTTTTATATTTATATACCACCGATATTCATAAGAATTAATGTGAGTTAAGGTTAAAATTTGAGAAAATAACTAATTAAATCGTTTCATTTCATATATATTAAAACAAATTGATATTACTCGTACATTAAGTTGTTTGTTATCATTGTAGGTAAACTCATTTCTGAAATTACACACACATTTTTACTATTAAATTTCAATATAATTGATGAAAACATTTTCAAGCTCAATATATTTCTTCTTGTATCACTAAGTAAGCCGTTGTATTTCTGTATATTCAGGGTGTCAAGATGAAGTCTTTATTACTCCTGGCTCTAACTTTGTCCGTTGCATCGGCAACATACAGTATGTATGGAGGTATGTTGATGGTCATTGTTTTTTTTTTACTTTATAAATCTTAATTAAGATTATCAATTATATAAAAATGACATTATTCGTTTTCCTTCACGAATACCTAACACTCGTATGCTGTTTTTTCTTAAAATAACTATCTTTCTGTCTTTAATAACAAATGCTCATTACACTGATCTTGGTCGTTAGGCTCATATGTTAATTTTGTCAGTAATATTGATGAGTCTGATCATTTTTTAAAACTAAAATGCATAATCGTTCAACATTTTAACAGGTGGCATGGGAGGCTACGGTGGAATGGGAGGCGGATATATGGGTGGAATGGGCGGTTATCGTGGAGGAATGATGGGAGGATATGGCGGCATGGGTGGAATGGGAGGATATGGCGGCATGGGCGGCATGGGTGGCATGGGAGGCTACGGTGGAATGGGAGGCGGATATATGGGTGGAATGGGCGGTTATGGTGGAGGAATGATGGGTGGCATGGGAGGCATGGGTGGCATGGGAGGCTACGGTGGAATGGGAGGCGGATATATGGGTGGAATGGGCGGATACGGTGGAATGGGCGGATACGGTGGAATGAATGGAGGATATGGCGGCATGGGTGGCATGGGAGGATATGGAATGATGGGTGGTATGGGTGGCATGGGCGGCATGGGCGGCATGGGAGGATACGGTTACCGCATGAGATACCGTGAGTAACTTAATTTCAATTTCATTTGTGCATTGATTCAATCTTGAGTCTAATGTTGAAATTAATCTCCTTCATATTCGAAGTACATGAATAATTACTTGGCAGTTTGGAATGGTTTCGATATAGTTAGTCTAGATAATACAAATGAATCAATGAAAGAATGATAACGTTTTTGTTTTCTATATTCTATTCATAATGTGTATTAGAATTGATATCTTTAATTAAAATATCATGTGCTATCATCAAGTCTTTCAGCATGATTATTTCGGAAGATTAAAGAACAATTTTATAAGAACATATTCTGAAAGTTTTCAATTATATTTGACAGGCAAAAAGGGATACTACTAAATCATATCAAAGATTGGGCTTCACCTGGACTGGACATGGACATGGACATTGAGCTGTAAACTATAAAACTATAGGAAAAACATTAGACTTTTTACCGGAAGTTCAGATCATACCAAGTGTACATGAACGAGATGTTTGATGTTTGGGTTTTTATATGTATTGTTCTTATATTGAATAAATAATGCATCCCAAAAATTCGCAATTGTTGTTAATATTGCATTACTCTTGTGGCTTGAAGCATCGACTTATTTGTTTGCTTGTTGTTTTTTTCTGTTATTTTTTACGCCGATTTTAACACATTTATTTTATCGTATTTATTTAAGAGACTGGCCTTTATAACTAAACAGTTACTTCCAATTCCTCCACATGTGACCGGCCATTGATCTTACATCATTTGTAAATAAGCTGTGTGAGACAAATAGCCAGCGGGCTCATTGTCCGACGTTGTAAGTCAGAAAAAATATGCGTAAAAAATATTCCTAGTATTTAAATTATAAAGTTTTTCGACTGTTTTACAGACTAAAAAGCAATACCAAAGCTTTGTACATATGGTTTTATCATATAACATTATAAAATATGAGGATGAATATCAAAAGGAAGAGCAACCTTTACAATACCGAGCCTCAAACACCCATTCTTATAGCGCCCATCTGGAATCTCAGGGCGGAAAAGTTAAAATTAAGCTTAGTTTTTTACTGATCAACTGATATCATTGGATAGATAGTTAGCGGAATAAGAGGACAAAACAGAAAACGGGAAGCGAAAGGGAGGAATAACACTGCACAAAAAATAATCGTTGTAATTGACACATATCTTGCATCCACTTGCACAAACATAGGATTTTAATCAATCTTGAACCGTGAAAGTATTGAAATAAATGATCCGAAAGACTTGAAAAATATGTAATTTTCAAATGAAATTCTGGGAAACATTTTATACAAGATTTTAAGGTTCCATGATAACTGCCGTATGAATACAACTGCGAATGTTTCCAAATTCAAAATTTTACCATTTTATGTAAAATGTTGAATTCAGCTAGCGACGTGGAAGGTGGCTTGCACTTTCCACTACCGTCCATGAACATGCTCAATCAAACCGTCAAACATTTTCAATGTTGCCGTTGCCGTTCTAGGCGTCTCCATGGATTCTTTTTTGTCTATATTATGTCTAAATACAAGCTGATTTGACTTTATAAATAAATACCATTTACGATTCTGAGAGAAATGTTATAAAGAAAATAGTTGGTGAAAATTGCAGACACCTTTTGATTGAGTTTTGTCACAAAAGAAATAAATGGTGCAAATCTTCGACACAACTTAATATCGGCTTATTTCATAAAATATAATCCCTCCTCAATTCGATGTTATTAAGTTTTAACCGTTATTGTTTCATTAATGGCGCAAATATTATGTAATTTGGGGATATGACGCCGCTTGTAAATGACATAAAAGTGTCACGGGGAATATTCCTTAATCATCGCTACATGAACACATTAACGGATGCATCGGAAGTCTTGATATATTCAATATTCATGTTTGAATATTAAGTTTGACCTTAGCCGATGATTTTTAGATTTTTCATTTTATCTTTTTAAACAATGATCATTGTTAACACTAAAAGCGTTTGAGTCAACAGCTTTTAAGTCAGCAAATGGAATACGAAAAAATCTATATGTAAAATTTTCTAAGGAAAAAAAACTAAATAAACTTCATTATAGCTATAGCGTCGAAATGATTGGCAAGTTTTGTTAAGATTAGTTGCCAATGGTACCTTAATTTTAATTTTAAAAAACAATTTGCTTTTACTGTAGAGCATTAAAAGATTCAATTCCCCGTCTTTATGACACATGTCATATGTGAGATATTTTCATTTCAAAGATGGATCATCTTTAAGAACTCTGATAATTATTATAATTAAGCTTTTGTGACCATTCCCAAAAGCACGAATAGCTTCTAGAACTAAGTATGTTTTGTTGCAATATATATGGAATAACAATAATACAGTTTATTTTAAAAGATGTTTGCAGATAAAACATGAATTTAATTCTTCAATATCAAAAAGAGGGAATTCTTAAGCATAGTGAAAGAACGCGAAACAACTGTCTAAAAAGAAAAATATTGATGACTTAGCATGTGCATGCTTTGTTATTGTAAATATAAAATTGCATCAGTTAAAATAGGTTTCCCAATAATTATTATCAGAACAAATTGAATTCTAATTAAATAAATTTTGTATAATTGAGTTTCATCCCACATCAAAGAAACATAAGGATTAGTTGATATTTCAGGAGCACGTTAGTCAAGGAATTATAAAATGTATATATTAACTCCGTTGAGATCCAAAAGCCTAAAATCATGAATGTTGATCTTGATCAGCTGGGGCATTTAAAACAGAAAGATGTGCAAAAGAATATTAAGAAATATTTTTACTCAGAAATAAGTTTGAAATCGCATTTTGTGCAATTCTTAGCCCCGTTTGAGTGATAAGCTTTGCAACGCTTTTCACTTTAGGGTCATTTTTTGACGATTTGAAAAATTATACTAGAAAAATAGTGTGAAAAATGATCTGAAATTTTTCACAGAGGTTACTGGTCTAAACCTACATCAATAAAACATTTATCTTGAAAATTATTCCAAGTTATGCGAAAAAAAAACTTCGAAAACATCTCATCTTACCCCTGTATTAACGGGTTTAGCACTAGTTTACATTTTTTGAGCAGTATATGTATTGAAATAAATGATCAAGAAGTTTCAGAAAAATATCACCTGAATGTACTACAACAATAACAAAAAAAGGAAAGAAGAAAAACTGTAATTAATATTTCATATCTGATTTGATTAAATATGCCCATGAGTTGCAATTCCTAAACACTACAGACCATCAAACATCGTCAAGAGAATTATTAATTTAATATTTCTTTTACTTACTGAGTTGTATATGGAATTAACAAAAGATTACATTTGGTAAAACATAGATATGCCGAAAACATAGATATGCCCAAGTCATATCTACAGTTTATTCTTATGGCAATAAATATTTCTGGAAGACTCTCAGCTGACAGAATAGGTCGGTGGTCAAAATAAGCTTCTTTGTTCGACTATATTATTTTACACAAGTTGCAATGTAACAAAGCAACGATACGTACTAAACTCAATATTTAAACAATTTGTTTGTGTTTGTTAAAACAGTTAAGGTCCAAGAGTACATGTTATAATAGTTCAGATGGTTACGATTGTAGAATTTATGTCGTTTTTATATAAACCTACATGTTCTTTATTGAAGTTAAAGCAAGAATATTCAAAACCCATTAAAACACGACAGCCATTTTATTCTTGTTCATTCAAATGTAAATAAATCAAATATTTATTTCTTAACGTTTTGTTGTTTGTTTGGGTTATTTTACAAAAATGACTCGAAAAGGTATTAATAGTAAATTAATATGACATAATTTGATTTATTTGTTTACCATACAAAAGATAGAAATTCTAGATGAAAGTAAATATGGACAGTTATAGTGATTACCAAAATAAACAACGCAAACAAAACCCGATCACATCTCATCGATGAATGTTTACCATTTATGACTAAACAGTAATGATTTATTATTGAATTTGCCAAAACAACAATCAAAATCAATCATTCTTTTTTCCCGAATTTATCAATTAACATGATAAAGTATACGCAAAGTATATTTTCTTGTCAGTTAAACGAGCAATCTATGTGGTATTTGATGTCTTTATTTCCGTAAATGATATCATAAAACAAAATATATTACTTTGGAAATAGGTGATATGTTTACATTTTGCAATAATGATAAATACCACATTTGACATGGTATAACTAATGACATTTATGGTCAAATTATAACCCTCAAAACGAGCAAAAAAGGGTTTCAAAACGAATTTTTCATGCCAATGTTTTTAAAAGAATCTGAAAGTAGCTCTTGTAGATATACTGATGAAGATATCTGAAGTGAATTGGTTTAAAACAGAATCTGTAAAACAATAAAAAATTATGTTCATAGTCAGAGAAAGCCATGCATTTTTAGTTAAATTAAATATATTCGTGATTTGTTCTTTGGAAAGAAAAATAAACGTGTTATCATCAAGTAAAGGTTATCGAAAATAGGTTCGGGTTGACATTTAATGTTTAAATACAAAAAATAAACAGATATGACAGGAGATGAAACTAGTAGATGAGCAATTAGAAGATCTTAGATTGTAAAAATTACACTAAAAAACTAAAATAACTTCACTTCTTACCAAATAATTAATTATCTATATCTATACATATATATAAATGACAATATGTTACGTGTTCATTACAGAAAATGATTTATTGACAATATTTACATTAATTTGTTATTTTGTTTTTATGTATTATATATTAATACAAATAGGGCGTCCGTGGCCGAGTGGTCTTCAAACCACCCGCCAGGGGCTTTAGATTCTTTCATGCGATGAAGCTATCTAGCTAGCTTTCGGAACGTCGGTGGTTCTACTCACGTGCCCGCTCGTGCCTAAAAGTAACACACCCGGTCTCTTTCTCCACAAGTTAAGTCGCCATATGACCTCTAATGTGTTTGGTGCTACGTAAATCACCATAAAAATGTTAATACAGTAGATATAAGGTCTGACGGAGGATAACCCAGACCCCTTACACCTATTACTTGATGAAAATGAACAGATGGCGCCTCAAACAGGAATTCCTTTTTGGAAACGGATACGTGTCTTTGTAGTAAAATAGAAAAACGGGATTTTCAAAGAACGCCCAAATACTGAAAATGTTTCAGGCTCGATTTAATTGAGCATTTTCATGGGCGTGAGTTATATGTGCTATCTACCGTCCCATGCTCACTAGCAACAGCCTCGGCCTATAATTTAGCATAGTCACTTGACAAAGGTGAAGTTTAGAAGTTGCAAACATCCTCAAATATGTTCATACGGTGGTGATCAAGGAATATTCAATGTAACACGTACGTGCCATTCTATGGTCACCAAGTAAAAGAATGCATCTCTCCTAAACGAGAAAACAATGGGCGGAACTAAATAAATGGGCAGGAGATATTAATGTACAATATGTAATAAATGTTTGCCTTGAATGTATTTGCCCTTAAATCATTTGTTTTTGATTCGAGTACACGAAATTGGTGTTTTTACTAATCATAGACTACATTTTGATATAATTTTCAATGTTCTCCTTTGTCAGTGATACCAGAAAGCTAAAGTAAATTATTCTTAATATACTTTTTCAAGTAAATGCTCGTCTAGGTTTATCAATAATGTATAAAATTTCATATGTCATTTATATTATTGATAAAATATTGATCAATATTTATGTAAGCGGTCAGATAAAAACACCATGTGGTCGTTGTCCTTTTCTGTTGTTACAAGTCATTTTTGACAGTTATATATCTCTTTTAGCCTATATTGGTTTTCTTTTATTTCAGAAAAAACCTCACATGACCCTGGGTGTGATTCACCAGTTATGTATAAATATCACCTTTTTGCTTGTACTACAACATTGCAGCGGTGACAACACACTAGTACTTGGTAAAAGGTAAGATGTTTTACTTGTACTTGGTTTTTTTTACTAACCAAGCAGCACTTGTTGATTATATGGTTGTATTTAATATCGAATAGTCCCTTTTTATTCACCACGAAACTTTTTTTGCAATTTGTAATACCTTTGTTTAATTTATTTTGAATCTTTATTCTGACTAGCAATCATTTTTAAAACTTTTTTTTCTATTATCCGGTTAAATAGCGTTTATTTTAGATTCGGAATGAAAAAAGAAGTTACATGTCACATCTTTAAGATACCTACATAGATTTATTTCTCTCTGTAAGTTGCTGTCGTTTTCGTAGGTGTAATATTTTTAAATTTAATTTGTACAAAGTCCAGCGCTTTGGCCGTTGTCATCTTCATCTGAGCGTGTTTATATTTTTCTGGTCCATATGGATCAGTGGTTTCAAACTTTAAATGTTGAGAATTAAATAACCCAGTGTTAGTGGGCAAGAGAGATGGTGCACCTTACATAATCTCTAAAACAAGATCTCGTTAAAACCAAGTCTGCAATGGTCAACTTTTTTCTTTGTTTTTTTTTTATTTCTCTCGAGAGATCAACCTTGTCCAACTTTGGATAAATAGTTATATATACTTTTACATATACCTAAAACAAAAATAATGATAAAGACATTTCTTAACACAAGCAAAATTGATTTGTTTTTTTTCCGTTTGTCCTGTCCTGTTTGGTGCCTTAATGGGCTCCTTGCCGGTGGTCCTGTGTTGGAGATGCATTCATTGAATGTCGCCCTTCCACGTCGATTTTATGATTTCTGGCTTTCAATTGACACTTTTCGAACAAATCGAAATAAGTACACGAAAATTTGAAAGTCGAAATAAAATAAAATAAAAAATAAATAATGATGCAAAGTAAAATATAACTTTAATAAATCGTCTAAATTTTATTTCATGTGTTTCCGTTTTATTCCAGAGCCGTTAAAGACAATCCAAGATGAAGATCTTAGTTATTCTTGCGTCCGTTTTGTGCGTGGTCTTCGCCACATATCCGATGCATTACGGCGGCGGTAAATATCATTCATTTTTAATTTCTCCAAAAATTTTAATCTTGAAAAGCATCATATGTTTGATATTAATTTATACAGCCAAGTTACACTTTGTCAAAATGGTGCAGATATAATTTCGAAATCAAATGCGAACCACTCTACATCAAAATCTGCTTTATATAAATAAAGGCTTTTATAAAGAGTGCCTTTTTGTTGAAGTTGATTGAAATCAACAAAACTTGATATGGCGTTAGAGCAAGTTTAATCATAAATACTTGTATACGTAAAGATTGGGATATGTTATTTTAAAAATTGCTGTAATAGTTCCATTTTACTTAATTGATCTTATTTGTCTATATATAATATGGATCTATAGGTGGATATAGATTTGGAGCGATCGGTGGTCCATATGGTGGTGTAATTGCTGGAGGCTCATTCGGTGGCTATGGTCCATATGGAGGATACGGCGGAGGACGTGGTTTCTATGCTGGTTATCCTGGTTACGGTGGTATTTATGGTGGTGGAATGTATGGTGGATATGGTGGTGGATATGGTGGATACGGTGGCGGATATGGTGGATACGGTGGCGGATATGGTGGATACGGTGGTGGATATGGAGGTTATGGCGGTGGATATGGCGGATATGGAGGTTATGGCGGTGGATATGGTGGCGGATATCGTGGTTACGGTATGTACATATTTTAAATCAATCACATTAATAAGATTAAAAAATACAACACATTCTAAGTTTGCATCCATAACATTCCCCTTTTAAAGAAAAACACAAAAATTAATTTGAATTAGCATTTGAAAGCCATAGTCGATTTGATTAATGTCTACATAAATGTACTTTATAATGATATTCAGTATGTTTTATAAGATGGGCCTTTCAATACATGGGATAATACTATTTTGATGTTCTTCTTGTAATACCATTTGTGTTGTTGTATATATCTGTTATATCTTTTATTGGCTTTCCAGGCAAGAAGGGGGGCTACTAGATGCGTTTTATTGCAAGAGTTATGGATTCATTACAACAATGCATGTACCAAATTTCTTCACCGGATGCTTGACCACGTGCTTCTCAACCAGATCTATTTATATTAAACTCATTAAATAAATTAATAAAACAAGTAAAAAATATCCACTGTGTTTGTATTTGATTAAAGGTACATTATGCCGAATAATTTTCCTTCTTTAGAAATGGTATTAACAATGAGTTTTATAATGTTTAAACAATGGTTTTAGAGCATTTCGAGGCTTGTTACATGAAGAAAGTAGTGCTGAATGTGAAACATGTTGTCATAACAGTAGCAAAATGTAAACAAGATAGTACTTTGAATTCCATACAAAATACTAAATCTCTATAATTGTACTAATTGTCAGAAAGCAACAAAAGCTATATATGATTTAGGTCATCGGCCAATGTGTAACTTTTAGTAACTATTATCGGACATAAATTATTAAAAGCTTTGAGAAACAAATAAAAACATTTGTGGGACATAACGATCTTAAAAAAAAAGAAAAGCAAAAAAAACAACAAAGAAACAAAAAAAATATTTAATTATTTATCAGTATTGAAGATGAATAATGATAAATGCCGGTTCTGGGGGTCATATACTTTGCACTTATCATAACCAGATTCATTAAAGACCGAGTCTTCTTTCATCAACGTTAACGTTTTTTTCTGTTGTTCTAGTGGTTTCAAAAATATTTTATATTTATTTACTGTTTTTATTATGCAATATGTTGACCAGATATGTCTTACAGACGCCGAGCAATGTAATGCTACTTTAATACTGCTTTACAGGAGGGGTTCCATGTTCTCCGCCCTGTTAACATATATATGCAGAAGTTTCTGAATTCACAACCTAACAATTTTACATGTAAATGTTGAATATTTCTTAAGCATGGACGGTGGAAGCTACCGTTTATGAACAGGCTCAATCAAATAGAGCTGCACATTTTCGATTTTGCCGTTTTTGCTGTCCTTCTGGGATTCTGTTTTCCTCAGTTCTATACATTTAATTTACCACCTCAATACAAAGCATACACTTGCTCTTTTACAATGCAAGCAGCATACAAGGTTTTCTATAACTAAAGCAATAATGTCCTTGCGGCAGTTCACCAACAGTTTTTTTCTGTATCGCAAACACTTTCGACTAAACCATTACTTAAACTCTTCGGTCTTTGATTCAGGGTGACGTATATGATACCACATTTATTGCAGTGATAAAGTAGTGGAAAGTATATGTTTAATCCTCATATCTAAATACAACACTGTTTATAGTTGGTGGCTGACTTGTGCCATGTCGCATTTTTGCATCACGGGGTCCAGACAAAGGAAAACTTTTAATTACGACAAAGTGACTACATTGTTACATATTTAATTTTATCGTTAAAAACGGACATGAAATCCTTTAAAGCATTTAAGATCTGGGAAATTATGTAAAAATTAGGAAAAAATGTATGGTTACCAACATATAAGTTTTCTTTTTGTATTTGACCTTCCTATGAAATCAATTCCTTTGGAAGTATTTTCTTATATTATCTCAATAAAACAATTATACATTTAAATAAAATTAATATCTTCATAAAGCTCATTTGATTCTGGTAAAAGCAAACTAGCGTCCACGCCCTCTAGCACCGTCTTAAGCAAATCAAACTTTTAAAATGAGTTGCCTTTTTGTTTTTATTGTTATTTTTTAAATTAAAAAACACATCCGCAGATTTGTTCATATGGTGGTTAACATGGAACCTTTAACGTGACATGTTAGTGTTCCCAACTATAAGTTTTACATCAGCACAGCAGCCACAGTAAGCTTTGTATTAAAAAATAATCGTTTAACGGTATTGAAGGTTGTTTTTGGTATTTTATTCAGAGAATTTTTAAATAAGGAAATATCTCAAATGCAATCAAAATAGAGCATATTTCATGAGTGTTTTTCATTACTCTCGAGGATTACCTCAGAATTCTTATTCTCGGTACACTAAAAATGTAGCTTTTTTGCAATAAGTACAGTTATAGTGCTACTTTTTTAGGTTATAAGCATCTAAATTTTCTCTTAAACCATTATTTAACCGTTATAAAATTCATGTTTGCCCTTTCTAAAGAAGTAAAATATTTATTTGTTTTCAGATGCATAATGTGTTTTAACAAGATAACTCAAACTAATATTAAGTTTTCAATTTTCTTATACTTATCATAATGTGCTTTTGAAAGTTTAAATATATTAGTGGAAACTATGATTATCAAAACTTAAATATATATATATATATATAATTCAGAGAATAGAATATATATGACAGTGTATATAAGTATATAAGTAGAAATTTGCATAGTCATAGCTCAATGATAAGAAGCACTATCGAACATTTTATATTTCTGTTTCGACACGCGTTCATAAACGCATTTGCAACTGTAAACTACTTTTTTGTTGATGTAACCCACTTGACTAACATCTTATGAATTACTATTTTATTGCTGTGACTTTCTTCTAGACGACCTGAAACAATGGAGCAATAAGTTGGCTTTTCAATAGTACTATTTTTTTCACCTATTAAATTGTCGCTCATATTCTTTCCGTGAGATATTCTTTCCGTGAGATATTCTTTCCGTAGAAGATATTTCATTATGTTATGCTTATGTACATGTCAAAGAAAATGACAGTCTTGGCTAGCAGGCAAGATTTGCTATATGCACTCCACAACTCGTTTTGAACAGTTATTGTGGCGGGTAGTATGTTTTTGCTGATAGTACGGTTTCAACTTGTCTTTTAGGCATATATACGAATAATTTTAGAATCTGAATGTTACCAAAGCATATAAAAATGAAACCTTACATGGTGATTTTAAATATTGCTGTTCTGTTTAAAATATTGTACGTCTTTCATTAAATTCAACGAAAGACAGACATACGAGCGTATATAGACTAAAAATCTTGTGGTGAACTGTGTATTATTTGATTTAATGATATCTTGAGTCGTTTCCCTTGCTAATATAATAATAGTAAATTAGGGTTACTGTAGCAAAGGAAAACCTCTAGAGAACAACCTATGAACTGCACATCGTATATTATATCCTTAAAAAGTGCTTCTTTAAAGTGTCGGACATCAAATTCCGATAAATATTCAATTTCTATTCCGTGAAATTGGTTTATGTTTTTAAAGTTATAAACTTCTTATCATTTCAATAGTTTTGGGAAATATCTTATGACAAACCAATAAACATAATTATTGAAATAGATCAGGGGTTTCATAAGATATGTGTCATGACATTATATAATTCTGTTGGTGTCAAATAAGTAGAAAATAATCAATTTTACAGGACAGAAAAATCAAATACGTTTTAATCAATTAAAGAATGAAAAAAGAAAAAAAACAGATATATGTTTTCTATCATTCACAAATTTTCTGCTTTCATCTTTGATTTCAATACATCATGTAGGTAATTTACTTTAAGGAAGTTTTACCATGTGGTTAATGTAATAATTACTAATATCCATTCAGCCATAAACCTGTTTTTTTTATTTCCTTCACGAAACTGTGATGAAAGGTCTGCAAAATGTCAATATATGAACAAGACCGAACGGTTGTTGACAGATGACGTTATAATGAATGTTACTTTTTATTTCAATTAAGACGTGAAAAACGTTAAACAGATTATTTATTATTATATTTTTGATTTGTTTTATTTCCATTTAATCAATAAATAACCATATAAATTTTGAAAATGAAATGCTTATAAAAGCAAAATATGCAAAATACTTGTTGAAAGTTTGAAGTCAAGAAGCTGTGTCGTTTAGTAAAAATAAAAGACACACACACGCTCGCGCGCGCGTGCACCAACACACACACACACCGAACGAATAAATTAATTTTTTTCGGTATCTTATATAAAAAAAAAAATTCTCTTTTTTTGGAGGGGGTTGAGTTGTTTTTCATTTTTGCTCTTAAAAACTTCATAAATGTACATTTTGTCTCCAATCAAACCAAATGTTTCAATTATTACGTCCTTGGTTTATCTTTGATTAAAGTCACCTCGTTGCTATTTTGTGATATATCTTAGGTATAAGTACTATTAAGCAGACACCTTGAAAAGTCATATTCACAATAACATAAGAAAATAGACATACGAAAAGGAAACATTTTGTTATGTATTCATTAATAGAATTTTAGTATGCATCACTTCAAATACACAGTTCATTGCAACAGGAATTTAATAAGAGATTTCTTTTTCTATCTAATCCATATTTCAATTAGTTGTCTTTTTTAGAGACAAAATATACAGACTTACAATTTTGTCATTTTGACACAACTATGCAAGACAATGTCAAGTCGCACAATTAAGTCAATATGGTTTGGCAACTCTTCGGGAAAAGAGAAAAATAAACAATAGTATTTCTGTATTCCTTGCTGGATAAAGATATTCCTTGTCTTTCTCCTTTTTTTTTGCTAAAGCAATCACAATGACCTTATTTATCAAAAGAAAGTCTTTAACCTATATTTTTCAGCAAAAAACTAATCATTTTGTTAAAATCAAGCGGTCAGATAAAACAACACGGTGGTCTTTGACATTTGGGTTTTTTTACAAGTCATTATTGACTATGATGATATATTTTTATAGCATTTACAAGATGTCAATCATTTTGACCGCCACAGTGAATTGACAATGAATCACCAGTCCCCTGTTCATATATATAAACATCCAAATTTTCTTGTTCAAACTAACTATCCCACGCTAAATCAAATATACGAAAGGTAAGAGGTTATTTGTTTTCTTAAATAAACAAGATGACTTTTGATTTACTGGAACAATTTTTTTATATTTATCAATTGGTATGACATTTAAAAAACATGTTTTTATTACATTTTCAGTTTGATCTGGTCTCTTTTTATCATTGTAATCATAACTTTTTGTCATTTTTTTATTTCTAAATTACATGTCTAACTAATGATTATATCGTCAAATTACAAAATTATTTACTGCCTTTTCTACTTAAATTGACTCTGTTATATATTTAATGCTTACAATTTAAAATGATAAATATTTACATTTCATGAATTTTTTTATTGATTAAATTAAATAATTGTTAATTAATATACTTTGACAAATACATGAATTTCAAAGATATACTATTTTAGATTTAGTGACTAAATGTCAGTAATTTTATCAAAATCTTCGTACTTATATAAATATCGGTGTTGTTATATTTGTAATCTAATTAAAGTGACATTATGCCTATGAAAGTGTAAATGGTCCAGTAAACTGGAATAAATCAAAATAACTTTTTTTCTAAAATTGTGTTAAATTTTGTATTTTACAAACAATCCCCAAGACCAATGGACATTGCTATATGTTTCCTTCACAGTATCGGTAACGTTCATTTCTTTAAAAAAAAATTGGTACAGTCGTTTTATATTTAAATTAAGGTCTTTTCCATATTGTATCATGTTTTCATAATCAGTTATTGATCAATCATCATTATATTAGCCATTTTTTAAAAATAAATGACTAAATTAGCTCAACTTGACATCGTAAAGACGAGCATAATGTCACTTTAGATAAGTGTTAGGTGATGTTTTATTGACCAAAATATGAAATTTAAAGATTTTTTTCATCTGTAATGTTATGATTTAAATGTCAATACTTTTTTTCCAAATCATACAATACATTTTACTTAAATTAATATTGTTTAAATGTAAATTCTAATTTGAACAACTGTTAAAATAATGTACATTTACAAAAACATGAATTTCCAATTATTTCAATTTCATTTTTTATTTATTTATTTATTTTTTTTTTTTTTTTGCTTTGCTTTTTTTTTTTTTTAATGGCAATCATTATATCAAAATCATATATCGTACTAAACTTAAATCGAGAATGTTGCACGTGTTTTGAAACATAATTATGAATATTATATTATAAATTTCTATGAAACACGAAATTTTAATTGGTATTTCTCGGCTTCCTTTTCTTTTCTTTTTTTTTCTCTGTTTGTTTGTTTCTTTTTTTCTTTTTTCCCCATACTTTTTAATGGGACTCCACTGAGCTCTTTTTTGACATGACGGAACTAGAAATAAGTTTTCAAAATTTATGTAACATGTCATATACCTAGATCAATTACTAAAAGTTCAGATCATTCGCTCTCTCCGTTTTCTAGAACTACGAAAAATAACACAAAGTTGAATAATAAACGAAATTGAAACTAAATTCGGACAAAGAATAACACAATAATATGATTTTCAATTAATTCTCTTAGTATTTTTCTTGTACATTTATTTGCACATATATTGCTATCTCAGCTGATATATGTAAGAACTTTTACTTACATGTATATAATTTTAGGCTTTTGGACCTCAGTGATGTTCCTTTAATTAAGAGCATATTGACATACTGAGCTTGGTCATTATAAAATCATAGATAGTTAGTTTCAAAGTTTGTTAGTTTTTTTGTTTTTTGTTGTTGTTTTTTAATGAACCAAGTTAATGCAGAAAGTGAACTCCATGCTAACTGACCTATGCAAATGTGTGACGAGCATATTAAATTACTATTAACAAAATTAATATGACATACATTTGTATATAAATCAACGAAATGCAGTCCGTTATTGCTTATTTCATTGGTTAGGACTGGATATATTTACAAACTAAATTTCTGCACATGTCAGTTGACTGTATATTTATTTAACTAAAAAGCTGATCGGTTAATGTTGCAAAGGTTTACTTTGTTTCTTTTTGATTTTATATATCATAAATTTTATTGCAGGTTAGCCATTAATTTCTAGCATAATAAACATAATGAAGGTCTTGCTTGTTTTAGCCGCTGTGGTGTGTGTGGCTTTAGCCACTTATCCAATGCCTTATGGAGGAGGTAAGTAGATTTTAATATTGATAATTTTTTAGTCAATTTTATCAAGTTAATATCAAATATATTTTATTTTAGAAATATAAATAATGATCTATTTAGACTCGTGGTACGGATAAAAAATCCATATTAACAAATTCATATAGCGGCGCAGCAAACAGATAAATAAAAATGTATAATATCTCGAGAACAAGACAGGTTACCAGGGTTTCAAACTTACAACCCTCAGGTCTTTATGCATTTTGGAGTCTAGGAATCTAGTGACGTCAACATAAGAAACAAAATACCTTTCGAGTTTATTTTTCTTATTTTTTCACGGACAGGTTGTTACATTGGTGCATTAATAAAGTTATCATCTTTCATCATTTTGAAAATGCAATGCTTTCACAAAAGAAAACCACAGATTTAATAATGTTTTAGGTGGTTATTATGGCGGCGGTGGCTATGGGCCGATGGGTGGATATAGATTTGGCGCTATGCGTGGTCCATATGGTGGTGTAATTGCTGGAGGCTCATTCGGTGGTTATGGTCCATATGGAGGATACGGTGGAGGACGTGGTTTCTATGCTGGTTACCCAGGTTACGGTGGTATTTATGGTGGTGGAATGTACGGCGGATATCCATACGGTGGAGGTTATGGTGGCATGTATGGTGGTTACCGTAAGTGGTTAAAAATAGGAATATTTACATAAATGATAATAAATTGAATAATGTTTTGAAATATAAGCTGTTTATGCATAACAACAGCTTTATTCATAGTCAATGTTCAACAATTTAAGTAACAAAAGGAAACATAGGTGATAAATAATTAGTTTTGTTTTTATTAATTAGAAATGCTAACTTTTATATGTAATGGTTATGAAACAACAAAGTATGGTATGAATATATCCATGCGAAATGTTTTATTCACAATTAATCAAATGAAAGATATCAATTTAAATTAATTAAATTGTTAAATTATAACTTTGTTTTAAACAGACTTTGAACGGCTTTGAAAAGACTCAAGCAAAGAGTTCACAATTACCTTATAATTTTGTTATTTTTATTGCTTCAAATTGAGCACCCTTTTCCCGATTTCATCATGACAAGAAATACCTTACATTGTAGAAAAAATGAGATATTAAATTATTCTGCTTTTGTTTTATTTCAGGAAAGGGAGGCTACTATTGATGGGTTGAACAGCACTAATAAACAACGACTAACGGGTAGACGACCAAGCGCTTTCTTAATGTATAAAACTATGTACTTTATAATGATAATACAATAAAAGCATCATGGAGAACTTATAAAGACTTGTTTGTGTTATATTGAGTTGACCTACCCTTGAAAAGAAAAATCTTCTTCGGGATCATTAATTGGTTCAAATACGTTCAGTGTTGATGACTAAAGCCTGACAAAAAAATCGCTTTTATCACAACAGTTCCACCATATTACTTACCATTTAAAAATATTATGCCAGTTATCTGGGACCACGGATGGCCAAATTTACACTTGCCATGTTGATGATTTAGAAAATTCTTATATCTGACTGTAAAACATAAATTAACATAATTATGTTAACGAACTCTTTAAATGAAGAGTATGAAAAAGATGTCATGTAAATAGGTTCCTTTCTTTTTCATTTATATGTATTTGTCCTACACTAGAGAATGATTAGTATAATATTTTCAAAGCCTTTCGTGTTTTACTGAGCTGAGTCCTGCAAAAAATGCATACATGCACATAAATTTCCAGCCGCCGATTAGATACAAATAACATGAAATAGCGATTCGTAAGATACGGTTTTATTTATAACAAATGGCCCCAGATTCATGCTAATTTTCATAACAAAAATTTAATTTGTTAAAAAGTAAAATATTTTAAGTGAACAAAGAAAGTCAGGTACACATTGCAACTCTACTTATAAACTACGAAAAGTGCCAAAAATATGTCAGAATATGCAAAATTAGCCCTAAGTGCGTTTTTGTCACGCAGTGAGAAATATATAGTGAGAAATACTGCAAAATCAGTCAATAATTGTATATAGAATGTAAATTATTTCTTGAATGATAATTATTTTTACATTTCTTAAAATCTTGGTAACAGAACACAACAAGTAGTAGTGGACAGCGCATCATCTGTTATAGCCTCGGTAACATCGAGTACCGCAAGGAACAGTCCTCGGACCAACACTGTTTTTAATCTATATGAATGACATCGCAGATAACATTATATCAAATATACGTTTATTCGCTGATGATTGTGTGTTATATCGGCCAATAAATAATCATAGTGACAACATAGCTCTTCATGATCAGGAAGACCTTAGTATATTTGAAAAATGGTCGGACATTTGGCAAAACGGAAAATAATTATACGAAACAAAATGCGCCATTATGCAATTTTCATCTTCTCCACATAAAAAAAGAAATATGACTACAAAATGAAAGGCAAAGCCTTGGAAATAGTTAACCAGCATCAGTATTTAGGAGTTGAATTCAGTGATAATTTGAAATTTAACAACCATATTAACAATATCACGAAAAAAGTATGTTTCTGTTTGGGTACCAAAACGAGACAATAATGAGCTGTGATACAAAATTCATAGTTTACCTTAACAAGATCACTACTGTATACATAATTTAATTAAGTTAATAAAACAAAAACTCGTGAGTGAACATTTAAAATAAGAAAAAAATGCGTGTTATATCTTTAAAATCATGCTAGGTCAATGTTAAGGTCAATTTTTTGATTGGGCAGAAGATAAACACGACCTAGTCTGATAGATAAGAAACGTCGTGACTAAATCTTAACCAGATCCAATGTGATTCGACACCTTAAAGGTAAATAACTTCAAATTGCACGTTATATCAATTTCGATTTTATTCTTTTTAATATAAACATTCCTGTATTATCTTTGTATGTCAGTCTGTCTGAATACTTATTTGTATTACCAGTAATTGAAGCAAAATTATGGTATAAAAATAAACTGGTTCCCGCCAACTTAATAAAGTCAAACACGAGTCATATAAGAATGTGTGGTCTTATATGTTACAAAGGTTCTCTTAAATATGTTCTTTTCACAAATCAAAGCCGTGTTTGTGACACTATAGTATTACGCCACTTTACATGGAGTGGCATGAACGTGCTTGCTTGAAGGTCCCAAGATTTCTGCCGTATATATTACATCTGCAGATGTTCCAAAAATTCTATTTATCACCATGTACACATTCTTCTTATCTTCTTAAGCCGGTGCTAGGGGACGTAGACAATATTCTGCACCTTCAACTGTCGTCAATCAACAGGCTTTTTAACAGTCTTCAATATTTTCAATTGTGCAATGTATGGCTTTCATTTTATTATCATATTGTCAGATCAGAAATGTTTGTGTCGTGAGGAGGCCACAAAAGTCGCCATTGTGCATTCAATCAAAGACATTATATTTTCGACATAATGTTCCACCATTTTAATTTGGTTCTTGTTCCAATATTTCTTTTATGTTTGTCTGTGATGTTCAGGATTCATAATCTCTGATCCCCTCTTAAATTCTTTGTTTTAGCTGAGCCAATTGTTTTCTCGTTTAAGAGAAAAATTCTTTTACTTGGGGTATATTCGCCACTTTTTTGGATTGGCAAGAAAGTGTCACATTGAAGGTTCTATTTAATGAGCATTGTCGTATTAACACATCTGCAGAAGTTTAAAACTATACACATGTTAAAATGTTGAGTTCCGCTTTAGCCAGTGCTAGGTGACATTAATGGAAGTATGTACTTTCTAGTGCTGTCCATGAACAGAAACAGTCAATTTATATATCTTCTATTCAATTAAGTTACTACGGAAAACATGTTATAAAAATAAATGAAAAAGTTAGTGATTTTAAAAATTGTTGCTAGCAGTTTGATGTTATTGAATTCGAACTTTCGATATAAAAGCTTAGTATCAGCAAAGTTTGGTTGATTCTTTTGTCCGTAAGCAAGAAAATAATGTTAAGATCTTTAACACAAAAGGTCATACAATATTTGATTTTCATTTAAAACAGATGATTCGCATTATACGACCATCAAATCTAAGCGTGCTGGCATTGGTTGCTATGGTAATACCGATTGCAAAATGTGAAGGTAAACTCTTACTTTGTGCAATTAAAGATATTTAATTGATTCAAACATACATTTTAAAAATAACCCCCTACTGTCACCAAATTGTATAAGATAATACATGTAATATCAAAATATTTACTCATAAAGTTTGATACATCATGTGATACTACTAATAACTCTTTTGTAAAGAAAAGGACTAGCATTCCTCTGTTAGATCTAATTAGTTTTAGTAGCACATAAATGCTTAGTATTCAATTGATAACATCATGTGAATTTGAACTTATAACTTATTTTGTGAACTTTAAGCATATGAACATCAACAAATGAAATAGAATCATACTGTTATACAATACAATCTTAGCTTTACTTCTAGAATAACAATATTTATTTCAAAAGAAGTATAAAATACTCACAATGAAAACTGATGATTTGCAGACTCACTATGGCCAGTAAGAGAGTTCCGTGGTGTCTGGGTAGCTACAGTAGCAAACATTGATTGGCCTTCGTCCCGCCATTTAACAACCAGCCAACAAAAACACGAACTCGATCTCATTGTTCAGACAGTACACAAACTGAATTTCAACGCCATCGTATTCCAGGTGCGGACTGCACACCTATTCTCACAAGATAGGCCCAACTTAAATTGACAAACTGTTAAAAAATGAACTTGTTTTTTATCAAAGTTTTATTACATAGATGGTTATAGGGATATGTGTCCGACAAATTGGGAAAGTTACAGCACTCAAACTCGATTATTATCTGTAGAACAGCCACTGAAACAAATTGAGTACTTTTGCAAAATGTAATTTACGTTACCTTAACTAAAAATAAACCAGTGGTCATATTAAAGTTATTTTGATATTTTCTATAAATGCACTTTATACAGATAGTCACTTCGATAAATAATTTGCCAAAGTAACATTACATATTTTATCCACAGGATTTAATAAAACCGTACACCAAGCTTTAACTTTTTCATTTATGTTGGGTTGAATATTTCTGGAAAATATGATCATCAGTAATAATAGCTACATAAACAAACTCATTGTTGTACTTATTTAGTTGATTTTATTATGAATTATAAGCACCAAATATTAACATACAACAGTATTTGACTTTAAAATTTATTTTGTATGCAGCATACACCAATACAAAGACAACTAGGAAATGGTAACGTAAATTACAAAGAATCACCTTTAACTGGGCAACAGTAAAAAAAAACTTGATTAAAGATAAAATGACAGCTATGTTTCATTATTTTTTTTGCTTTTGAATAATCTTAGATGTAATTATCAGTAATAAGTTCGTCGACTGAGATAAATTTATGAAAGGTTTATGCTCAAACATATTCATTTATCCATTTCTTTAAGAAACTAATAGCTTAAGGCCGTAAAATACCTCGTGAATGCCATTAAGACATTATCTTTTTTATCAATACAATACAATATACAATACAATATTTCTTTATTTTGTCAAGATTACATATAATGTAACAACAGACAATTTACAAATAATATCAGTATTATAACATATGTGGGTTAACAATTTATATAGAACGAGACATGCAAAAAATATTTCGAAAACAACAGTTTATAAGAATAACGTGTCTAATGTTATGAAAGTTTTGATTAAATAGCCTTTACCAGGGGAACAGTGTAAAAACCGGGCATTTTTGCATGTACACAAATAAGTTCTATTTAGAATAATTATACTAGTCAATTTCTCCCAACTAGTACTTTATATCTAGCAGTTTTCATACTATAAAAAATTGGAGACATTAGAATAAAACTAACAGTATCTATACGTTCGTAATAATCTCAAATAACTGTATAAATACAAAGACACGATTTACTATTGTGTTGCACGATTATTTTGTAGTAATCATGTCAGTCTAGGAATTTCATTCATAAAGTGGATTTAGTCGGTAGCGTTGACCAATCAGAGTAAATTTTACCTGGCGAGTTGTTTAATTTTATTTATAAGAAGAAAGCAACTTATTGTTTCAAAATATATGAAACAAACATACTTAAAGATTTCAAGGTAGCATAGTCGGTACTATTTAACAATTCATTATACTTTATTACATTTGGATGTTTAAAATAATATTCTGGGATATATTTTTTCCGTATGACAGTAAAACGTTTACAGGACATAATTGCGTGAAATTCCTCTCCAAGTGTTCGGCACTCTTCGCAGATACGCTCGTTGTAC